CGTTCCCTGTACTAGTTTGTACAGGTTCCGTGTTGGATGTTCGTCATATTCTTCTGGACGTAATTTCGTACGTCCATATATTGCCTGCCTCCTGTGATTCAGTGCCTCACATTCGCATAAAATGTGTAGAGCTATTTCTATCCCTTCGTTGCATAATCTGCAGCTGAGATCTGAGAGGTTGTACAGCTCCATTTTATTCAAGTGTCCTCTTAGCGGACAATGACCGGTTAGTAACCCTGTAATTATTCTGAGACGATCCCTACTATATTGAAGTAGTTCTTCGGTTCTTTTCTCGGTTCTTTTCTCGGACGGTTCCCTAATGAAGGTTCTAATGTGTTTGTTGCCAGGTACTTTTGTCCAGTACTCTGTGTGCTTCTTACTGGTCCATGTCCTAAACTGGTTTTGTACCAATAATTTTGGTACCCCAAGAGCTGGTTCAGGACCTATATATGAAGTTGATGATCCGCGTCATTCATGAGCTTTATCATTTCCTGTGATTCCTGAATGCCCTGGCAACCAGTACAAAGTTAATTTGTTCCTGTTTGCAGGTCTCAATTTAATAAGCCTTGCACACTGAAAGATAGCATACACTTCCGCCTGAAAGACGGATGCAGATATCTGTAGTTTGAATTTCTATCCGCTCGGTATATTCCAGCTCCCGTTCCATGTTTGGTCTTCGATCCATCTGTATACCAGGTGTTTTTTCCAAACATGTTTTCGGGATGACTAATGGTATTCCACTCTTTACGGCTTATGATTTTGGTCGTGAAGTTTGTGTTAAAGATGTACTTCGGTGTCATGTAGTCCGTGCACAAATCAATATTTTCTCCTCCACATGTTCCGAAATGTCTGTTCGGTCCGATCTTTTGTAGTTCGGTGAGTTTTCTAGTCTGAATTGACCCATCCTGGCCTCGCCCATTATCAGAAAGTGTAAAGGAGGTAAATTCAGGAGTGTCTCCAATGCAGCTGTTGGGGTAGTTCTCATTGCTCCCTTCATTCCTAAACATGCAAGTCTTTGCACCTTGCCTAGTTTGTTGATAGCGGTCGCCTGCTTCATCTTTGGCCACCAGACCAGATATGGGAATGTTATCATGGGTTTAACCACCATCATGCACAGCCAATATACCATGTCTGGTTTCAGCCCCAATGTTTTTCATAGATGCGTCTGGCGAGCATCAGTGCTACCTCCGCTTTCCTCTTTGTCCTGTCAAAGTGTTGGTTCCAGGTCAGTTTGGAATCTAGATAACTCCCAGATATTTAACCTCTCCCGACACTTGTATTTTTTCACCTCGAAGGTCCGAGACTCTCCTTTTTAGTCCTCTTGGTGAATGCTACTATGGTCGATTTGGATGTTAAGCCCTTCTTCTTCGGTCCATCTTGTTGTAATATTCAGGGCCTGCTGCATGCATCCCTTCACTACATTATTGTATTTACCCTAGACTCAGATGACTAAGTCATCTGCATAGCCCAGTGGCTGCATCAGTGAAGGCACAAAAGGCCCACCCATGGAATTAACTTGTCACTGTGAGGCATTGATTGCTGATTTATATATTTAATTCGCTTTTTTCTACTAGAATCTATTTTTTTCAGTCATCAGAAGAAACACATAAATCCTATGGTAAGAATTCTGCTTCGTAAGAATTTTGCTTCGTCAATTGAACCTCTTCAACTTTATCAGCCACAATGAACCCTCACGGTTACAGTGAAGGTTCGAATAGACCTAGCAATATCCTAATCTTCGATATAATCAACACATTCGCTCTCTTTCATACCTTCAGAAATATATCAGAGGTTTGAGATGGCTTTCAATAATTTTTTCAAATAACATTCTATAATGTACTCCCACATATTTTTATTAGAAACAAGTTCCGTTCCATTCTTTCCGAGTGATTTGAAACTGCCCATTTGTGTCCATGGTCCATTTGTGTATTTCTATTGTGAGTGTTTCTTGACTACTTTTTATTGAATCTGTTGAGTCCCTTTCACCATTATCTCAGAATCTGAAAAATTTGTGCCTTTCGCTGAACTGATAAAATCAATACCTCAATCTTTCAATTTCAATAGTATCATTCTATTATATATTTCAGCTTCCAGACAGAGATGCTAAATTCCCCTGCCGAGTCACAGGTGTACCACAACCAGAAGTCACGTGGACCAAAGATGGTGAACCGCTGCGAGAGACCGATAAATATCACATCAAAAGAGATGGAGATCTCTGCTGTCTATACGTATTGAACTGTGGACCAGATGACGCTGGTGTTTACAGAGCCACAGCTGTCAATCAGGAAGGGGAAGACGCATGCACTGCCTCTTTGGAGGTGGTCAAGGAAATGTACGTAAGATCAATAACTTTCAAAAATATTTTGGGTATCACTATTGAATATCCTTGACTAAAAGACTACTTCTGATCAACAGAAAAGCCCCCAAGAAGATGGAACCTCCAGTCTTCCTCAAGCGCATCGGAGATACCGAGCTCTTCAAGGCCATGACAGCGAAATTCACAGCTTGCGCTTCAGGAATTCCAGAGCCTGATGTGGAGTGGTTCCACAATGACAAGAAGTTGTTTCCGTCTACCAGGATCAAGATGGACAAGGATACTGCTGGACTGCTAAGACTCACAATCTCGGGAGTAGATGAAGATGATCTTGGGAAATATTCTTGCAAAATTTCTAATGAGCATGGAAGTGATATTTGCCACGCTACCTTGAAATTCGATGAAGGTATGTGGTTCAAGATCCTATGGTATAATTTCACAAAGCATAGGAAGTTGAATGATTACTTCCTCTATAAAATTTAATTGTTCGTTAAAAAATACCCTCTCAAACTATAGTTGTCGGGTTGTTTCATACCAGCGTTTTTCTTCGGCAGGAATTGAACATAAACCCAAACGTCCCATCACAGATCAGTATACCGACTTCGATAAATATAAAAGAAGCGGAGCTCCAATGCCTATTTCAGATCCTCCTATCATATCCCAAATGACAGACAGACACTGCACCCTATCTTGGAACCCCTCCATACCCACTGGGCCTAGAGCACCAGTCACTTACCAACTGGAGATGTGCGAATTGCCCAACGGAGACTGGTTCACTGTTAGATCTGGCATCAGAAGCTGTACCTGTGGAGTGAGGAATCTGGAACCGTTTAGGGATTATAAGTTCAGGGTGAGGGTTGAGAATAAGTACGGCATCAGCGATCCATCTCCCTATGCTCTGACGCACAGGTAAGTGAAATCGGGTAGTTTAAGATCAGAAAAAAGATATAGGTTGCTGAGACTCCAATTCGATAGATCCTTTATTACATTCTCTTTCTCAATATGGAGAGAAATATGCTAGTTGTGTATTTCTTCTGTTTCAGTGTGGGGCGGTGGATATCGTTCTCAAACACAGTACAATAGATGTTGTTTCTTTGGGTTCAGTGTTCAATGGCGTTTTGACAATCGAATCATTTCAAATCGAAATCATTTATTTTTGTAACTGTAGAAATAATGATGAATGCATTCCTTTCAAGGGTTTTCTCTTGTTATCCTCCTGGATCTTTCTGTCCTTTTATTTTTTCAATTCAACTATCTTCAAAGATTTTTTCATAAATGAAATGGGTTTTCTCTGTGTGTTTATGTATCTGTGCCAGTTCATTGTTTTCTTGTCCATAACAAATAATTGTTTTCCTCCTCTCTGTTTCATTCCTCATTGGTGATCATAATTATTATCCAGATAAAACTCATTATATATTTATTTATTTCAATTTCTCATATCTCCGCTGTGATTTTGTATTTCATCACTTCTTCTATTCGACCTGTTCCCAGCAATTCGTTCTTCTGTTCTTGAATTCATCTGTTACTGTACAATTATATACAATTCATATATTTTCTAAAAACATCGAAGATTTTTTTTGTTCGATGATGATCATCAAATCTTCATCATCTATCTGTATCTGTAATGACTTTCAACTTATATGCTGGTATTGAGGAAATTAGTTATCATTAAAACCATCAGTCAATGAAAGTCTCAGACCAATCTCCGCAGTAACTTTCGGTTTTTCATGTGATCAATTATTTTAGGCAAAAATTAGAACCAGAGCTGCCGAAATTCCGGCCATATCTCCCACCCGAGATCGATTTCCGTCCGGATACGTCCCCCTACTTCCCCAAAGACTTCGATATCGAAAGACCTCCACACGACGGCATGGCACAAGCTCCGAGATTCTTGCGTCAAGAACATCCCATCCAGTATGGCGTCAAAGATCAGAACACCAACCTCTTCTGGTTCGTCTACGGATACCCGAAACCAAAAATGACGTTTTACTTTAACGATGAGCTGATCGAATCGGGTGGAAGATTCGATATGAGCTATACCAGAAATGGACAAGCGACGTTGTTCATAAATAAGTATGTCACATTTTGCTCATCTGCTGATATTTGTCAATTGAATTTTATTTGCTTTTGCTCTGCTTAGTTTTTGCATAAAATAAACTTTCACCTCTAAGTAACGTTAACACGAGCTTCAATCAGTTGCAGTAACTATGACTTCTCAGTCTTTGCTTTTAGAAATAGTTCATGTCATAACTATTATTATTTACTTCTACACTCCTACATTCCAACTAACCAGCAACAACTACAAATGATAAATATGAGAAATTCCCTAGAAAGATCTGTCTGGAAGAATTCAACAACATTTCTAGATAAGAAAGACAGAAAAGTCCTCTATTGCTATAACTTTCTAATACATGTGTGATTGTGTGCTGAAATATATGATTTCTCGACACATTCCTATCCGCATAAAGTAGAAGTAATCAATAGTATACTTCACAGACTATTGGATATTCTACTGTCAGAAAGTAACCTTCAGGGGGTAGAACATCATAGAACATCAAACAAATTGCTGTCAATCATGATTAGATATTATAGACTCCATTCTTTGCAAAAAACTACGAAAACAAGTCATTTACAGGTCTATCTCACTTCAAGAAATGATAATAAGCGTCATAGGAAATTGATACATTCTAGTAAACCCACCAATAGCATTGGTGGCTTCAAAACTAATAATTATTTGGGAGAACTTATTAAAAACAATAAAAGTTTCGGTTAGATCAGGAGTATATAAGTTGACTTGTGGTAATTGCCTGAAACGTCATAGTGGCCAAACGGGGTGGACATTTTTCCAAAGAATGAAAGAACATAGTAAGAGTTTCTTGAATGTAAAGAGCGATGCCATATTTGTAAACCATCTTTTGGAAGTTCAACAACGACTATGACGAATTACATTTGAAAGAAAAAGGTTCGAAACTCAATCTTTTGGAGTGCTTGAAAATCAATAGATTTGGGAATCCTAAAAATTCACTGAATGAAAAAGTAAGACTGAAAACTTTCCTTCATTAAATATTTTTCCATTGTGGCAATTGGTAAGAAGATGATACGTAAACTCAGGTAATTTTTTCATTCATTACGTGTCAATTCAAATGAGTTTGTGATTTTTTTTCCATTTATACAATTGTTCGAAATCAAGTAAAATTATTAGTCATTATGTAAGATGAGGGTCATATGATGTAAATTGGTAAATCATGTGGAGTACTAATTAGGTAAAATATAGTAAAACACATATTGTGGTTTCGTAAAATGTTGTGAGAATCTCTAAATGAAATGTTACCCAAATATATCAAACATCTCAACTCTGTTTTCGTGTAATTTGGAATTTTTCTTGGAGATATTCAGATAATATTGTACAGTATCCCTGTGGAAGCCAATTGTTTTTCCATGAGAAAATATGGATCATATTCAGAGCAAATCAAATATCTCATCGAAAGTGACCACTTGTCATAGGGTCTCAATAAAATTCCTTTTCTCAACATCAGGTCTCTTAAGGGCTCTTGTAAACGTTTTCTTGGTATTATCTTGGTTTCTCCCACTACTTGCTTAGATCAGTAACTACAATGAAGAAATTCACTGAAGTGGAATGGTGGGGGTAACCGGTAGTGATCACCTACTCTCGGGATCAAACATACAACTCGAACTAGTTCTGAAGTATAATTTTAGCTATTTTACAGAATGTTGGAGAGAGATGTCGGATGGTATGAAGCAGTGGCTAAAAACGAACATGGAGAGGCACGCCAGAGGGTTCGTTTGGAAATAGCTGAGTTGCCGTACTTCATCAGGAGACCTGAAATCGAATACGTAATGTTGAGGGGTAAAGCTAAATTCGAGGCCAGGATAATTGGGGTTCCTTATCCTGAGATCAAATGGTACAAGGACTGGAAGCCGTTGGCAGCATCTACCAGAATTAAGGTGGGTTCCAGAGACAGTATCACACATCTATGAACCAAATTCGATTTCATTTGAATATCAGTAACAAAATCCATAATTCCACACTGAGTATCACTGGACGTATGAAACCCATAATTATTCATCATAAAAGGAGAGTATTTCCGTTAGGTAATTCATTAATCTTCAATGCATAACTTTTTCAATGATTTTAGATAAGAATGAAAATAGTGCAAAAGTACTTTTTTCACTTTCACAGATCGGTATTACTTTCGCAATTTTGTACTTTTTTGAAATACTCCAGTTTCAGTTGACAAACAGCCCAGGAGAGCCAAGTTGAAACACGCCAAATTCTATCAAATGTCAAGGTGTTGCCTAATGTTTTCTTCGATTACCGTGACGTAGTGCATCAGGAGATCTTGCCACAAGATCGTACGGTCAATAATGAGTCAATAATCTTGAAGTTATGCGCCGTTTGCGAGAAGCAATCCGAAGAAAACGTCGCTTATTGTGGAAAACCAATTCATGGATTTCGCGTCACAATAATGCACCTGATCACTCGTCATTGCTTGTTAATGATTTTTTGCTAAAAATAACACCGTAATCATGCTTCAGCCACTGTATTCCCTAGATTTGGCCCACCGTGACATTTTTCTGTTCTCAAGATTGAGGAGACCAATGAAAGGACGGCGTTTCACGTTCGGCCTTTAAAATCATGGGTTTCATACCATAAAATAACATCATCATGAATGAGATTTCAAACAGGATGTATATAACTATTTATTTCAATTGTGAATAGTTTTTGAAACTAATACTGGTGTAAACTTTTATCGTTGTACTATTTCAGATTGCATTCATCGAACCTGACACAGCAGTATTAACCATCCACGACGTGATCCTGAAAGACGAAGGACTTTATTCGGTCAGCGCGAGAAACGTTGCGGGATCAGCGTCGAGCAGCGCCATGTTGCACGTCGAGGAGAACGAGCACGAGTACAAACTCAGAAACTACTCGAATTTGTCGCCGCTGAAGCCTAAGAAGCGCCTCCACACCGATTTCTACGACATCGGGGACGAGCTAGGACGCGGAACGCAAGGAGTCACCTATCATGCAGTCGAAAGGCTCACCGGTAAGTGTAACTCAACAACCAACCTAAAAAATTTATGAACCACCTTCTGAGAGACCACCCTGTATATATGTATATAATAAAAATCAAATTCATTCGAAAGGTTTCACACAACATAATAATAATAATAATGGGTGAATAAAGAAAAATGGCGGTAAGTGCAAAAGAACTTGTAATTCGAAATGTTAGAAAAAACCTGTTGAAACATGTTCTTCCGTTAACCAGCTGACACCCCTCCACGAACAACAACCTTCAGAAATCAAAACTTGTGCTGAGTATTAATGAGGTCTTACCTATCAACGTGCGTGAAAATTATCAAATATCATCTGCTTTCAGGTCGCAATTACGCTGCCAAAATTATGCACGGTCGCGGAGAGCTCCGCCCGTTCATGTACAACGAACTGGACATGCTGAACGAACTGCGCCACAAGAAACTGATCTCTCTCCATGACGCATACGAGACGGACGACTCTTTGGCGCTCATCCTCGAGCTCGCGTCTGGAGGAGAGCTTGTTCGGGATCACCTCCTGAAGACGGACTACTACACCGAGAGCGACATAGCCGGCTACATGAGACAGCTGCTTCAGGGCCTGGACTATATGCACGATCGGGGTTACGGGCATATGGGCCTCAATGTAAGTGTGTGAAGTATGATGTTCCTTCCTTGAACTCACATTATATGCCTTTCGTAACAAATTTTCTTCAATCCCTCTCTTCTTCTTCCCCAACTACCCGGATGATACATAGTTCATGCTCCATAACAGGAATACTTTTTATCGAATCGTATTCCTAACCCTTCATGTTTAATTTTAAAACTGGCAACGCTTCATCGCCCCATAAACAACAATTTAATTTACAACCGACAACATCGAACCTGTAATGCTTGCGCTGGCGACGGGTCACCTCGATACCATCTCCATCTCCTTCTGCATCGATTACGTCACACGTGTCTCTCTCTCACTCACACTCTGAAACACTTATAGGCTGTTCACGTTAAGAAGAGAATGACGTCATTTTTGGTAATTTTGTATATCCAACATAACAACGTTAAAATTCCCACTGAAATGCGTTTAACAGCAATGAAACTAGTAACATTTCATTTTGTAAGTTGCTCAACTGATATTAAAATTTCAGACGTTGCCGTATTGAATATACGCAGGTCTTATCAAAAGAAATGATTAGTTCTGAAAAGAAAATAAAGACGGACAGTTTTCGAGTTTTTTTCGATTCGGCAACTAAGAAAATTGAGCAACATACAAAATTGATTGATTGATTGATTGATTGATTGATAGCACTTTATTTCCAACAGGCCAATTACAGGAAATGTACAAAGGTGTTAATGAAAATATATGCAAAACAGTATAATTAGTTTAAAAAAAAAGATTGCTACCACTAAAATAAAAATAAGTAGAAATAGAAATATATCACAAGAAGCGAAAAGAAAAAGTTAAGTCACAGTTAAAAGGTTCTTGTGGGAATTCTAGAATTGCATTGAAATGAAATGAAATGTTACTAGTGTCATTGCTGTTGAACGCATTTCAGTGGGAGTTTTAACGTTAGTATGTTGGATATACAAAATTACCAAAAATGCCGTCATTCTCTTCTTAACGTGAACAGCCTTTACATTGAAGTGAGCTCATAAAGACATTGTTCATCTACTAGTGTCATCAATTTTTTGGAAGCAGCACAAGTAACTTCATTATCAATGATATTATTCGATAGTCTGAAACTATATTAAATCGTTGGCAGAACAGAATGCATATCGATAGAATTTTAGTCAGCAGTACATTAATCACCTGGTTCACGGGGGCGCATACTGAGGCAGGCAATGGAATGGGAGCGACACTGCAACAAAAACATGAGACTGCAGTTTTTTGACTTGAGATAGGTGGGCAAGTTGGACGGGCTTCAACCAGCAAAAATAAATTATGAATGTATTCAATAATCATTCATAAAACTTTCCTTTAAATTGCATTATAGTACGATTCAGTTAATCAGAGGTTTTTCCTTGCTTTTCTCCCTCTTCTGATTTTTTTCCTTTCCGTCAGTCCTCTTCACACTCTGAAGTTTTCTAGTTATAAAAATTTCTATCTTCACTATCATTCCAGCTTGGTGACTTACTGATCTCTCACCCCGGAGGGGATGATTTGAAAATAACAGACTTCGGTCTGACGAGACGCATCCAGCACGGCAGCTTCTACCCCCTGAAGTACGGAGTTCCGGAGTACGTGAGCCCGGAGGCTGTGAATGGAGACGGAGTCGGGTTCGGGCACGATATGTGGAGCGTGGGAATCATCACCTACATCCTCCTGTCGGGAAGATCTCCATTCCGGGGTGAAAACGACAGGGAGACACTTACTAACATCCGGTCCGGTAAATGGATGTTCGAAGAGTCTTGGTGGTCGAAGATCAGCGTGGAAGCGAGAGACTTCATCAGCAAGCTGTTGGTGTACGAGGCGGAAGACAGGATGGACGTCAGAGCGGCTCTGAGACATCCTTGGTTGGAGCGGGCAGATAAAAGATATTCTGAAGAATTCCGGATCAGCAGCAGGTATCTCAGCGACTATTGGAGACTTTACAGGTCAGTTCGAATAACCAGTTCGGGCATATAAATAAGTGTTGATAATTTATGTACAAGAAAAAAGCAGGCGTAGCTCTAATTACATGTTTGTTTATAATACACTACAATACACTAATTTGACTACTGGTGGGGGAGTTTTTATTGCGCTCAAAAAATCATATAAAGTTCTGCATGTTAACAGATATCGGAGAGATTTTGAGGCAATATCAATCACTTTCAAAGTAAGTAATCAGAAATATACCTTATGTGTAATTTATTTATCTCCCAGTAGTACAGTTCAAATAGTTGAAACGGCATTTAATTTTTTACAGGACCAAATTTATGATAACGAAAAAGTTTATGTTATTGGTGATTTCAATATACATGATAGTAATTTACAAAAATACAATATGTTACAAGATTTCTTAGACTTTAATAACTTTTCACAGTTGAATAACATTCAGAATACACAAGGGAAAATATTAGACTTGGTACTAGGTCCGGAAAGTTCTATAGGTAAATGTTCAGTTGAAAGAGATTCATTACCGTTTGTAAAAGAGGATAACTATCACCCTTCCTTGAATATNAATGCAACGCTATTAGGTGATATAGAAAAAGTGCAAAATAAATTGCTGAGATATCTGTATTTCAAAAAATATCATAAATGGCCGGATTATAGAACGGTGCGAACATCAACACTTAGAGCAGAATTTAAAATATTATCTCTACAGCAAAGACGTTGTTTGAATATTATGATATTTTTGTATAAAATCTTAAACAATAGAATAAATTGTCCGGAAATTCTATCGTTAATACCTTTTAATGTACCGCTGCGACGCACACGTTCATCATTTGAATTTAACTATCCTGTAAATTTATATGGATCTAGATCTTCTCTTGTATACATGCTCCGATTGGCTAATCAAACAGGTGTTTTAATATCATTGGACTGGACTTTATCGCAAAACAGTTTTCGCCAGTTGATATTGAATTATTTGGTTAGTATTTCTGAATAACGTCTCCCTGTCATTCTGGTATATTGTCAGTTAAGGTTGTGTAAACATTATGCTGCTATTTTTAGTATTAATTTTATTGTATATGTATCAGTATTGAACTAAAATTTTTTGTTTTTTTTTTTTGTTATATCCATGTAATTAGGCTAATCAGCCTGTTTGGATGAATAAATAAATAAATAAATAATAAGTTGGCAATTGTAGTACATAATATTTGCAAGGTCTGATTCACTTGAACTACACTTGGATTGTATTTGCCTTCTCATAGTTTGAACGCATTCGGCGTGCCAAATTCCTTCGATCAAAAATAGCCGATAGCAAGTATGTTGATCAGTATCAGATTCAATTTCGTTTCGGTTGATCATGGACCAGTTAGATAAATATATAGTGGAAAGTACTAAAGCTGCTGAAGAACTAGAAGAGTCCTTCAAGTATAGTCTGAAATTGTACGATGGGGTCGATAGATTGTTTCCTCTCAAGAAGATCTGTTATATTTCTGAGCATAGTCTCAACAGGCTGGAACTTTTGCTAGCGTAAGAAATGTTGTTTCGTGAACAAATCATCAATGTTTACTAGTACCATAAGAAATGTATAACAAAAATTGACGAAACGATAACGAACATAATTTTCTGTTATTACTACAGGTCTTAATTTACATTATGTTTTTTTCCGGTTTGTCTAACAGATTGGCACGGTTGACTAATAATATTGTATTGATCATTTGGAGTTCAAACACATTTGATTGACTTTTAGTTCAGTTCCGTAATGATTTTTCTTTATTTCATTTCCTCACAGCTGCAAACCAGTAATGTTTTTTGAAAATTTTCCGATGAAATTTCAGTCTTTTCGGAAACAGACTTATTTTGTTTCGAATAAATACGCAGAAAGCTCCACCTCCATTTTTATCAACCGCGCCCAAAACACATTTTATATATTTCTATCTGATTATTTCAAATCACAACACAACAAAAAAAATTTTTTGAATGTTTCCTACACTAAATTAGTCAATTTCTACTAATTTTGGGGTGATAAAAACGAAAATAACAATGAAAAATTTTTATTAGCTCTGGTTTTTGAGATACACAGTACTTAATCTTAAAGAGTAGTTATACTATACGTGAAAAGTGAAAGTACATAAAACAATATTGTTATGTTTCTTTTAGAATATTTTAAGTACAAAATTAATAAAAAAAAACATTATTCTTAGTGTTTTGACAAATAAAAGAAGTTTGTACCACCAAATTTCAATTAAGTCCATCCGATTCATTGTAAGATCGCTGTCGTTTAGCTTGTCTTTTATAAAACACTTCTGGAGCATCCCTACACACAGACCAGCAGTAGTCTGCAAGCATTGCTTCATTCCAACGGCCCTGATATCTCTGCTCCATTAAGGCAATGTCTTGATGAAATCTTTCTCCATGTTCGTCACTCACAGCTCCACAGTTTTGTGGGAAGAAATTAAGATGAGAGTGAAGAAAATGAATTTTTAAGGACATGTTGCATCCAAGTTGGTGGTAAGCTTGAAGAAGCTCTTTAACCAATGCTGTGAAGTTATCATCTCTTTTGTTACCTAAAAACCCATGTACAACCCCCTTAAAGGCTTCCCAGGCCCTTTTTTCATTTCCTGTTAAAATCATGTCAAAAGCAGGATCATTTACGATTTCACGGATTTGAGGCCCAATAAAGATGCCTTCCTTGACTTTAGCATCACTCAACCTGGGAAACTTTGCTCTCAAGTACTTAAAAGCTTGTCCTTCCTGGTCCATGGCCTTCACAAAGTTTTTCATTAGTCCCAACTTAATATGTAATGGGGAAAGGAGAACATCCTTAGGATCTACAAGAGGCTCGTAAACTACATTTTTCTCATTAGGGTTTAGGTCTCGTGTAGGCCAGTTCATTTTTTTATAGTGAGATTTTCTATCCCGACTGTCCCACAGACACAAAAAACAACAGTACTTGGTGAACCCTAATTACATTCCTAGGAGTATAGCAATGACTTTCAGATCACCACAGATGTGCCACTTGTGTTGTTCATATTTGATTGATTGGAGAAGTGTTTTCATATTTATATACGTTTCCTTCATGTGAACTGCATGACCTATAGGAATAGAGGGTAGCTGATTTCCATTATGCAGAAGTACAGCTTTTAAGCTTAGTTTTGAAGAGTCTATAAACAGTCTCCATTCAGATGGAGTGTGATCCAAGTTCAAGCAGTCCATCAAACCATTAACATCAGAACAAACTACGAGGTTTTCTTTTTTCTCAAAAAAAGGAAGCAAATCTTTTTGACGCTGTCTGTACTGAGATATTTTCACATCATGTTTTAGAAGATTCCACTGTTGTAGTCTTGACCCTAACAGCTCAGCCTTTTCCTTAGACAAGCGAAGATCTCTTATAAAGTCACTCAACTCTGCTTGACTAATTCTGTGCGGATCACTAGACCTATCGCTTACCTCAAAATCAGGGTCATAGGATGTAGAAGGATGGGTTGCTCCTTCTTAACAGTCTTCATCACCTTCCTCTAAAATTTCATAGTTTTGGGGTGGAGAAGGGACTGGCAAATTGTCTGAGTGTGGTACAGGCCGAAGAGCAGATGGGAGATTAGGGTATTTAACCGTTCCTCTTTTCTTCATAGATAAACCTTGCTTAATGGGAGGAGTTAAGCAGAAATAACAGTCGTCTGTATGATTGGTAGGCTCACGCCAAACCATAGGTACTGCAAAAGCCATTGCCCGGTTTTTATTTTTCAGCCACTCTCGCAATATGACGGAACAAGAATTACAACATATATGAGGAGCCCATGATTTATCTTGGTCCCCAACTTTCACACCAAAATAATGTTCATAGGTTGTCTTAACGATAGGTGTCATTTTACGTTTCTGAGCCTTAAATGTTATTTCACCACATATATAGCAAAAGCTATCGACAGAATTCACACACTTTCGAGGCATTTCAGATCCGCACTTAAATTAATTTAAAAATCAACTTCCCACGATAATTTTAATAGCAACCACGTGCGTACAATTGACAAACTCACATAGGTTATGTTTACTACTTAAGAACAGCTGATGAGAGGGGTGTTATGTAAACAAACATGTGTACCAACTGTTGGTGATGAAATATTTCATTTGCTGAAAAATCAATATACATATATATAATATAATGATACTATATCTTGAAAACAGGAGCTAATATATAATTTTTATGGTCACTTTCGGTTTTAACACGTGGAAATACATTAAAATCATCTAATTTCAACCCCGAAACAAAAACTTTGTTGTGTTGTGATATTTTCAATTCGAAATAACAATGTTTGTCCAGGTCACCTCATTTAATCATTATTCTTCACAGAGAATGGTACGACAACGCTTCTTGCAGAAGGTGGCTGAGACGCAGGCCACTAGAAGGAGCATTCACACATCCCTCCAAGATGGTTTATCCTCCTGGTGAATACGACTCTCCAAGAGCAACGCCCGTTCCATTGGATAAGATTCCAAGAACAAGAACTACTTGGGAAGATCAGTTACCCACCAGATCGCCTCTCAACTACGAAATCGGCGCGTTCAGATCAGAAAGCCAGTAAGTGCGATTCCTCCTCATATAATCAAACTGCTAGTTTGTTAGGGGTGCTAGCTGCGGTTGGCTTTATTGCAATCTTTGCAAATCTATTGTGATGCTCCTTGATTTTATCAAAGCTCTTCATCTAGCTTGATCTATTTGATGAGGCTCCATAGCATGAATATTGACTCCTTCATATAGTTTGTAGCTTCTGGTTCCTCATTCCCCGATCTCCCATATCTTCGTATTCTCAGAGACATGTAGTACAATTTCTTCATTCTCCTGGCGGAATATGCGTTTACTTTGTTCTTTCACGCCCATAAAGCTCATATATTTTTTGAGTTGACAATGTCCCATAAGTGTATCTACCACTACCCTCACATCTCAGCAGTTATGGTTCAGCAGATCTTCCATAAATCGTGGGAGTTCATTTATATAAACTTTTTTGCCTGCCTCACTTCTGGGAGCTTGTGCTACCAGTTCCGCGCTTGGCTGGCATCCACAAATTGATAAATGTCTTTATATCAGTCATTGTCGTCCCGCAAAAGGGCCCGGGCCCGTTATGGTCTTGGATGCTTCCTCCTGGGCTAAAGCATCGCCCTTCTCATTGCCTTTGTGACCCCTTGGGTATTCAGGCTAAGATAACCCTACCATGCTAACCAAGCTCATTGAGTGTGCTGAGTCAGCTCCCTACAAGTCGCAAAAAAAAATTGATAGAAGTTGAGCTCCTCAAATTCCGCTTGGCAGTTGAAGAAATTGGAAAGGGTTTCACAAATTGTCCGATCTTTCCGGGTTTATTAGCCGTGGTCAGGAGGTTTTTATACCTAACTTTTGTGTACCGCTGTGGTAGACATTGTCAAAGGTTGAAGTGATCTACTTCTCTCCGGTACGCATACTGAAAATGGTCGTGATGCGTTTGTATTTATATATAATAGGACGTGTCGGGCGACCAGCTGCTTATGTATCTGATTGGTCCGAATCTTCTTCAACTATTGGGATAATCTTTGTGTTAAGTGCCCGTATGTATGTTTTACTGTTCAAGCTCTCTTCCTCATGGTAGAAATAATTCTCATGTGTGTGTATTTCTGTGGGCTCTCTAGATAGTACCCCCCGGATATTACCCCCTGGTTTTATCAAGAACTTGCGTGCGATCGAAGGCAATGTCATTGCTGCTCTCTGAGAGAGCGTGTTCTTGCAATATATCTCTTTTGCCATAGCGAAAACTTATTTTATGCTCAGTCAAGCCAAGCGCATTTCAACGCTTTGTTTCGTGTTTTTGATGTAGAACAAAGCACAACTACACAGTATTCGGTACTCTCCTGGTGTACTCAATGGATTCTCCTGGGATCTTTTGCTGATCCGATACTATTCTCTATTGTTCTTGTGGGCCTGACTTCACTTATATAGGGCAGAAAAGTTCTCCCATTGGCCGTTCGCTCGTGTCGCCGTGAAGTGTTTCTGTGTGTTTCATAAGGATCCGTTGATTTCGACCTCGTTATATTCATTACCCTGAAACACATTCTTCAGATGACACGTTTTTTCTTAGAGCCCTTCCGGTTCACAGATACGTCTTGCCCTTTCTTTCGGAGTCGCGGATGATGATTGGAGTGCTTGTTAAATCAGGTCTGCCACAGTAGCAGAAGAAACGTCCGGTATAAAAACACGATCAAGCAACCCGAAAACAACGTCACTGTTTGAATTATTTACTACTACATTACAATCTCCCGCCTGTTTGTGGCCGCGTGATGTTCTGAGATGCAAAAATGTACACTCTGATTGGTGATCTGGCACGCAGGAAGGCGCTATGACTGGCGATATTTACTGTTCTGTCTCTGGCTCGCGGGAAGGTGATGTGCCCGATATGCTGACGTCGCTGCCCACAAACAAGTCTAAGATGCAAAAGCATGCACTCTGTCCCGCAAACCTGTCTGCCCAATTCAAATCTCCCGCATGGCTAGTCACAGAAGCGCTGGTTAGCTGGACACTATGTCAGATTGGCGCACCACCTAGTTGACACCACGTGACGGTATACTTTGGCTGGGTGGTGAGCTGAGAGGCAACCTGGCTGGTGTGAGGTTACCTCTATTACGGCAATGGCTTCATATTCAACATTCTGCCTGTGTAATTCTCCAAAGCACTGTTGGATAGCAGCAACTTCTGCCTGTAACACTGTTTCCTTCTGCAGAAAACTAAATGATATTATCGTTTTCACTCTTCTTCCTATTATGCCGGCTTCTACTTTGTCCCCGGTTTTTGAGCCACGTCTCCTCCGATGATCAGAGTTAGCCCCTATATCGGTCTGTGTGTTACCATTCAGGCTTCATATAGATATGTAGTAGTGAAAGGCCAAGAAGGACCCTACGAGTTGCAGTTGGGGTCGTTTTCATGACTTCTGTGGCACTAGCATAGCTCTCATTCACTACAGAATAGTATGAGCGAATTTGTTCTACTCCCCCACGAGGCACTGAAGTACGGGGTCCCCTCATATTTGTGGATGCACAATAGCATATCAAAAATTTGCTAAGATGTCAACCGTGTGTGGTGTCGGATCCCACAATTTTGACAAATTTTCAATAACGTATTAGAAAAAATGGGCTGGGATGTTCACCGTGATGTGTGACGGGTCCTCAATTTCGACACATTCATAATAGCGTATCAAAAATTTGCTGGGATGTTCACTGTGATGTTTTAAATCCAAATCACAGGATATATATTTATGATTATACAGATTTATAGAAGATTTACAGTGCTTGACCTTGAATCACTTCGCGTGTCCCGTGTTACACTACTTAACCCAACACATTTATTCATACAACTCTGAATATTTTTGGCAATAGTTATGAGTACTCATATATAGTTCAATTCATCAACGTCAAAACATTCAGAACTCATATATTTCAGTTATCAAAATGGGCCGGACACATATTTACTACAGCTGAGAGATGTTGATTTTCCTGTACGCTTGCGTGAATATATGAAAGTTGCAGCCAATAGGGGACCAGGATCTGGCTACATAGTGTCAGATGAAAATGGTTATGACTGGAGGGTAAGATCTTATCAAAGTGTTGACTATTCTGAGTCAACCACTAGAAATATTAACAATTATTTATTACTTCAAGATTTTTCATTTAGTTTTCAAAAGATATAATTAAAAAAAGATATGAAAACCGTAGGGACAGATTTTTCTGAATTATTTCTTCATTCAATCCTTCATCTTTTGTCTCACATAAATTATACTGTGGGACGTCACTAACTTTACATCGATGCTTGCAAGTCAATATATAGCGCGTATCAAGTACTCGTTTTTGAATTTCAAATGCTTTCTAAAATATTCCAGACACCTATAATTCGTGAGAGAAGACGATTCACAGACATCATGGATGAGGAAATCGATGATGAAAGGAAAGCTCGCATCAATAGATATGGCGCTGACAGAGATCCAGCAATCAGAAGGATCAGGCACGAAATAGGTAACTATCAATCTCTTGAACAGTACAGATGATTTCAACTGAGGTATTCGAAGGGGTTCAAATCGATGTCTCCGTTTCCCCTACTTGTTTCTAAATTTTCCATCACTTGGTTCTGAAGACAATTGAATTCGTACGAAACCTCGTAGTCAATATACACACACCCATGTATGATTTGTCGACCAAACTATGAAAACGAACATCATTGTAGATTTTCCTTTCAGGGTCACGATTGGATACTTACGTAGAAGCTGAAGCGTTCTTGGAAGCCAAACAAGATGGACGGCTTCCATTTTTCAGAGAGAAACCCCAGTTCACTGCTATGACAGAAGGAAAAGATTTGGAACTCACTTGTCTAGCTGTAGGTGAACCCCAACCGATTGTTCAGTGGTTCAAGTAAGTTGTACCTTGACATACATAGGGATATTGAAAGGGTTAAGTATTGAGCCTTGGAAGATACCATGATTTCTATAACTTGCCATTTGATATAATCAGTATGTACTATTTTATTTCCGAAATGTGATTGCAGTGAGAATATTTGGTAGTTAGTAGTTGGTAGTTGATTGCAGAGAGGATATTTAGTTGTTGGTATGACTGGTTCAGAGACGTCATGATCCTCTTGATATATTTCTGTTTCTTCCATATTGAGAAAACTTTTCTTTTTTGAAATCGGTATTCATATGACTCCTTTGGACATATGAATAAGACAGTCCCTTAGGCAGTGAGTTCAACAAATTTTTCACATCAAGGGCGTGACCACTTTGACATGGAGGCAAAATACAACTTCTTCCCATCACAAAATGACTATAAATATGTTGAATTGTCTTACCAACCTTACACTTGTGTGTTATGGAGAAAACCGCAATTCGTCTTCATGAATAACTTCGAATTATGAATTAGATAACCAACGTAAAATATTGAAAAGTAAATTGAAGGGGTTATGAACCGTTTGTCTGAACCGAATTTGTGTCCGAATGATTGTTGATCCAGAATGGATGAATTATCCCTCGACCACAGAAACAATCTCTATTGCAATCAATTTTGCCAACTTTCGGAAGAAATTGCCATAGAAACTTTCTGATAAAAGAGCAAGAAATTTCTGATTCAATTAGACAGTCAAGCAGTACTGACAGCTCTGAAGTTTCTTTATTTATAAAGACGTGTTTGACGTGTGTTACTACGAAGGCCTCGAAACCACAGCCGCCTGCAGAACAGAGGCCGCTTGAGCCAGACATTTCCTGGCAGGTCGTTTCTGTGGATGTCTTGGGGCCATATCCTGCAGCAGAAAACAGCAACAACTATTTAATAGTCGCGGTCGATCGTTTCTCAAAGTGGGTCGACGCTAAAGCCTATAAAAGCGTAGAGGCGAACATCATGACTAAGTTTTTGCTGGAAGAAGTATTCTTTAGGTGGGGATTCCCACAAATAATAGTATCTGGGCGCGACCTGGGAGCGATTCAGCGAGACGCACAATCTCGAGTCGCGAATGAGTCCTTCGCACCATAAACAGGCAAATCCGTGTTCAAGAGATCAAGAAGATGCAGCCCTCATTGAAAGAAAGGAAAGTGAATGGGAGCGACACACTCCCGAAATTGTGTTCAATTTGAGAACCAGAGTTAACGCGTCGACGGAAATGACCCCCAGCAACTTACTGTTTGGATACGAACTCCCCAAACCCGGTGAATGGGCTACCCCTTCACAAAGATCTAGGAAAATACATAATAATACAAATCAAATGGCAGAACGTTACAGAGTAGTAGTAGTAGTAGTATTGATAGTAATAGTAGTACTTCTGTTTAAAAAATCGTTTAAAGTGAATTCAGTAGATGAACTATGCCGATTCTGTGACACCGGAAATTCAACTAACAGAAGCAATGAAGTACATCGTTTTCAGTGCATTTTCGATCGTTTTCTGTGCGTTTCCGGCCGTTCTTAGTACGTTTTGGACAGTTTTTCATACGTTTTCGTGCGTAACCGTCACATACTTGACCAACTGCGTCACGAAAAAACGGTCCACGAAAAAACAATCTTTTTTTTGTAACGCTTTTCGTGTAGCGCTTTCGTGGCGCAGTTGGTCGAATATGTGACGGTTACGCACGAAAACTCATGAAAAACGTTCGAAAACGCACGAAAAATGGTCGAAAACGCACGAGAAACGATCTAAAACGCACGGAAAACGATGTACTTCATTGCTTCTGTTAGTTGAATTTCTGGTGTCACAGGATCGGCATAGTTCATCTACTAAATTCACGCTGTTTTTGGCTGATCACCTTCACAAGAGCAGGAACTCTTAAAAATCTACTTTGCACCAAGAGTGGCAGTATCCTACTCTCTCTAACTGACCTGAAAGAACACTCACCCAATCAACTAATCGACTTTGTTGAGAAGCTGTATTCATTGGGTCGAATTTGAATGGGTACGAGCCCCATTGAACGCTTGTGGGTTGCAACGAAGGTTGTCTAGACCCACTCACTTTGGATCTACCCCTTTCCATCATAAACCTCTTCATTCCAGAGATGTCAATAGTGTCGAGTTTTAGAAAAAAACAATTCCTTTTCCAGGAATGACGCCATAGTCGCAGAGTCTCACCGCATCAAAATCACCACAGACGAAGAAGGCCGTTCTCACTTCAAGCTGTGCCCAGCCTTAGGCTTCGACCAAGGCATGTACAAAGTTGTGGCGCGCAACAAGATAGGCCAAACCATCGCCAGGACGAGGATCGTCCTCGGACTCGTTCCTGATGAGCCTGACAGCCCGGAATCTACTCAGATTTCGGACTCTGAGATTTTGCTGACCTGGAAGCAACCCAAATTCGACGGCAACGCGCCTGTCATCTGCTACAGTCTAGAGTACAAGTTGTCCGATGAAATGGAATGGCAGAAGAAGGCTGATAACATCGACCACGAGTTTTATTTGATAACAGGACTGGAGTCGAATAAGAGCTACATATTCAGGTTGGCGGCAAAGAATTCCATCGGGTGGAGTGATCCTGGAGTGCCATCTGCGCCTGTTACGACGAAACCCTCAGGTTGGTATCGTTCAAAGTTGGAATTTCCAGATGACTAAATTTGGAAACGCTTATCGTTAGTCAAGACATATATTTTCTTTAGGTTCACCCAAAGTTCAATTGAGCAAGGCCATGCTTCATCTTCAACAAATTACTGACAGCGGCAAACCCGCAGAAGAAGACTCTCAAATCCGTCACGATTACAAAACAGAGTCGTCTCCTGTAGAATGGGAAGAAGCGAATGTCCAGGAACAGTTCAATTTCATCTCGGAAATATCAAGGTTGGTGTAGTTTTCGATTGAACAAATTGACGTACGTTCAAACTGATAAATCTCTAAATATTTTATTGTTTCAACCACTTCTTCTCTCTTTTGTTCTCAAAATATTGTTTCGTGTTCTTAGATGAAGACATTATCGGAATCAAATGTATTCTTTCATTGCAGAGGTCAATTCTCAGTGGTACTCAAGGCAGTTGATAAAAGAAACGACTCTGTGGTAGTTGCAAAAATATTGGAATACACCGAGAATAGAAAAGAAGACGTCGATGGAGAATTCGCAGCTCTAAGGTCTCTGAGGCACGAAAGAGTCGCAGGACTTGTCTCTGCCTACCAAGTCAACGAAACTGCGGTATTCATTTTGGAAAAGCTTCAGGGTGCTGACATATTGACCTACCTGGCCAGTAGGCATGAATATTCTGAACAAACTGTGGCTACAATTGTTTCACAAGTGAGTTAACTTCTCTTTTTGACAACTGAAATACCTAAATCTACGAAGGAACTAAAGGCCTACATACCATTTTAATCTTATAATCGACAGTTCGAACTGTCGATTAGCCGTAAACAACAATTCAATCTGTCGATTATCTATAATCTATTAACTAGTAACCCTACTCTTTTCTTGAGATTCCTTTTTCTTGGATTTTACAAACTTGACCAATCATCTTTGCCAAAGGAAAGATTACAAAGAGGGGCCAGTGAAAGCACGGGAAAATAAAATCGCCAGTTACCTGGAATATTCAAATTTCACTATCACTTGGAATGAATCAGCAGACTACTAAAGAGTAGATTCCATTATCTTTGTCTCTCATTTGACATAATTTTCTTCTTCTTTTTTTGTATTATGCCTAGTGGGCATGATTTACTTGAATAATTTCACCATTCCTCAGCGATGGAAAGAAATAATTATGAAGCCTCACAACAATATTTGAGCTCAGTTTTAATTTTAAGCCGAGCTCAGGGGTGCAGAATATACGGAGAATACGGAGTACTTTTTCTCCGAGCAGTCCTAGCGACTAAATGTTAAAAAGTATCAATAAATTCGTTCGTCACTCTACTACTTCACCGTTTTTTCTCTCCCATACTCATTTCCCCTGGCTCAGTAAACTCAGCTCCACTCTCTCGTAGTGATAGATTTTTTCGTAATTTTTGAGTTGAGATGCTCCCCATAACCTTATTATGTCCGATTTACTTCTTAACTCTACTTTCAAGACTGGTAAAATAGAGAGGTTATGTCTGCTTCGTTTTTTAATTCAATTCATCATGGCTGCGAACGGGATTATACCTAAATAAGATTTTTATTCAGTCGGTAATTTTCCGTGTCATTGAAAGAATCTAATTGAAATTAGCATAACTTGGCTGAAGTCAATATTTCATCCAACTACGAATGAGACGAAGTTTTATGTTTGTTTGAAGGTGGTTGACAATGTTTCGTGGTGTATTTCATCAATTCGGACTTCCATTGTCTAATATAATATAAATTGATTTGAAAACCCTGAAAAAAACAATTGAATAATTAATAAGATTAACCGAAAATAACAATTTTATTAAACAAAAACTGAAATTACAAAGAAATAACATACAAGCAACAACCAAACAGATAAAAAATTTAAATATAAAAGCTGAAAAATAAAAATTAAAAAAATTATTATTAACAAGAAATGAACAAACCAACTTATGTCACGACGTTTCGATTGTTAGTATCCGAAATCGTCTTCGATAACTGGACTTATTCCTCCGAGATCTGACTATTTACAGGTCGCTCGAGTGTTTCACCTATCCCCTCTTCACTTTTTCCGCTTCATTGGTTTTTAGATGGAGATGATCGTTTGGCGGGTATTGGTCGTTTTTCCCTTGATTAGAGGTTTCCATATGTTACGTATCTCTACGGTAGCTTGACTAAATACATTGTTGGACAAAATACACGCGGCTTCTTTGAATTTTCTCCTAAACCAGTGTTCCTCTTTGTGGATGATTTCAGCTTGAGCCCACAACATAACATCAAGTGGTCATATATATTGAACTACAAAAAAAATAATAAAATAAAAAAATTGTTTTCTATTCCTAATCAAGAGACACCTCCCTGCCATATTTAAGATATGTGCAACCTGCTGTATAAAGTTTAATTTTTGTTGAACTTATAAACCATACATACATCGGGATGGTCACACATCCCTGGCGAAGATTTCAATTTCTAGGTTTCCTATGCGGACAAATATTTTCAAATACGAGTACGCATGTGAATAAAATCCATTCATTTATCATTTTTTTGATCAGATTCTGGATGGACTGCAATACCTTCATTGGAGAGGACTATGTCATTTAGATCTTCAGCCCGATAATGTGGTCATGTGCGGAGTCAGATCGGTACAAGTCAAACTAATAGATCTGGGATCGGCTCACAGAGTCACCAAACTAGGAACCAAAGTGCCCATCGTCGGTCATCCCGATTACATATGTAAGTCACTCTGGGTATACACCTATCAAGTATTTCCCATCTTACGTAATATTGTTTGAAATTTTCAGCGCCTGAGGTCCTGGCTGAAGAACCAGCATTCCCACAATCCGACATATGGGCAGTGGGTGTTTTGGCATACGTAATGCTTTCCGGAGTAGTGCCTTTCCGAGGACAAGATGAAAACGAGAGCAGGCAAAACATTCTCTTTGTTCGTTATAGGTTCGAACACTTGTTCCAAGAAGTATCACAAGAAGCGACGAGGTTCCTCATGCTTCTGTTCAAACGGCATCCTAAGTAAGTAATAAATATTATAATAACGATTGCGTTCCTTTAGTAAATGATTTTATCTAATCTCAGATATCCTTCGAATATTCAACATAACCAAAACTATTTATCTCCCCTAAAATTCATTATATTCCACTCCATGTTTTATCATCATGAGCACCACATTTTCTATCTTTTCTAATTATTTCAAGCTGTTTTTCCACTGTTTTTCTCTTTCTTGCCTCTCTAACAGGCATCTCCACTGGTCTATATAGGTTTCTACGTTGATCAGATTCCAAATGATAGAACTAATATACTAGAAATCAAATATGAAAAACAAAACTGTTTTCAACGTATATCTCTCCGGTATATCACAGAACACTCAACATTTTTCAAGTGTTATACTTTCTGCAATGGAAAAAAAAGTTTCAGAAATGTATGATTGAAAACATTTAAAATTTAAACTGATCCTAAAGGTGGATTGCCACTGTTAAATTTGTTTAAAAAATTGTTAAATTCTATTTTCCGTTAACCAGCTGTTGCTCCCCTACGGACGACAACTCTCAAGTCTAAACTTGTGCGAGCTAAGGACTAACGAGGTCTTACCTTTTAACGTATGATTTCTAGCACAAGTTGGACGATAAGAAGTGAAAATCGATCGTCTGGCCTCGCGGCTTTAACCTCTGTGATTTTTTTGCAGTTTATATAATAAACTTTCGCTCTGATTTTGGAATAACCGCATAGGTAAAAACTTCACGTACAATAGTAGGTCCCTTGTCTTATATTTTCACAATTTTTTCGTAAGTAGTTCATTCAAAATCGTGTAAAAATAATGGTCGTGACGTCACTTACAGTTGATATGAACTTAACAACACTGTAACACTTATTCATATTGCATAATGGGGAATGTTCCTCAATTTGGGTTATTACAGCAAATGCAAGTTTGAACAAAATAGAGTTGAGTTTAATTCATGAGTTTTTCAAATTCACTTCGAGAAGTATTCAAATTGATGTTTCAAATGTTGAGTTTTAAATTTTAAAGGGATTTGTTCCTAATTCACATATTGGCAACAGCGCCTATATCAAGTTGAAATAATTTATACGTACCTAGATATTCTACTTTAAAAAAGGAAAATTATCTTTATAAATCAACAATTAAGACAAAATATAAATTATAGCCACAAGCCACATAAACAACAGTTATTTTGTTATTTATTTATATAGAGGATGATAGATTAGGTGCACAAAATGTCATATGTCACAGATTGTCTCGGAACATAAGTGAACAGAACAGCACGCCTCTGAAATATGTCATCTTTGTTTGTCTCATACAGGTAACAGATTCATTGTCCTTTATTAGCTATAACCGATGTTGCCAAATGGTGAAATAGAAACGAATCCCTTTAAATGTTGAATGCATCATTTCATTCCTCTTTTTTAAGTATTTAAATACTTTTTTAAAGAAAACGCTTGAAATGATAAGTTCAAAATGCGTTGTTTTAGAGCTCTTTTATGAAAACTACTTGATTTTCGTCAGGAGGAACATTCCCCATTGTCTTCTTCTTCATGTATTCTTGTTGTTATTACTGTGCTTGCGACTACGGATAATAATCTCTCCTCTGTTGAGCGACACTGTTCTTGTTCTTGAAGTCGATTCGATGGTTAATTTCAAATTCGAGAAGTATTTTTCACTACTAAGAATTTTATAATCGGAATTTTGTTAGAGATATTTGAATATTGATTTTCCTATTTTTTTTCCGAAAAGTGTGAATGAACCAATTCACCCATTCTTTGAACACCTCAAATGTCTCTCAGTTGATCCAAATATGAATATTTCAGTTGACACACACTCATATATTCATTTCATTTCAGCAAAAGGCCATCACCCGAAGAATGCCACGAAAACCGGTGGTTACTACCGACTGACTACATGATCAAGAAAAGAGAACGGGCAGTTTTTCTGGGCCACAGACTTAAAGATTACTCAGAAGAATATCACAGCGAGAGGGATCAACTTTCGCAGAAATCGAAGAGCTTACTTGGTGTCAAATTAATTAGGTCTCACAGCATTCAAGAGGAATTATTAACGACGTCGTAGATTTGTAGGAAGTTTATGATCTGATTGTAAATATTGTTTATACAGATGTATTTTGGTTTTATTTATTCGTTTTTCGTTGTTTTTTGATCTACCATGATGGTGAAGTGAAGTTTGGGTTTGGTGTAATTATTTATTTTTCAAACAACTTTAGAACTATAGGAAGCAGCTTTCAAAAACCTCCCAAACAGCCCTTCAAAAATGAGAATAGTATGAATGTGACCTTTTTCAAAAATATAGGTGGATTTATGCAGCTTCAACTTCCATCCTAACTTCAACTGTGAAATTTCCATCAAGAAATACAAAATATTTCATGCAGCACTATCGTTTCCCAAACTACACATGCGCAGTCAGCATATTCTATCATAAACAACAAAGTCAACCCAACCTTGTTCAGTGATACTATTACTTCTGATAGAATTTTACGGGTGCATCAACATATCATACATAACACATAATTAATTTTCAAAATTTGGATAGAATTAACAGCGTGTGTATGTGCTAAAGCAATTTACACTTTCACCGCTGTATAGAAGAACTGGTCATTACACTTTGTTCGCCACTTCCTATGTTCGTGTTCCACAGTTCCGTTTTTTTTTTGACGAGTTCCCATCCTAAATTCCACACCCCTAAATATTTCAAAGAGACAGTACAACACGCTAACACAGAACATATATATGTTCTATGGTTTCGGTGCATTCATTTTTGACTGAAAACCGATAGTTCAGTTTTTATAGAAAAAAGAAATATGGAAGTTGATGCCACATAAATCCATCTTAATGGTCGTGGATATCACCTTTCCAGAGTCGCCTTTAGAACAATTTATTCTTGAAATTAATGTCATTATCAGTCTGAATGTATTTTTGGTTCCTGTATACAAATAATCAATATTTTCGGTTGATATTATTCTGTTACTTCGTTTGAAATGTTATTAGAATTTTATTTCAATAAAGAAACTTATAATTTATTCATTCTTATCCACAACCTTTCTCACATGTTATCAGTTATTCTAAATGAATGCCTTTGCGAGGTTCGGCCATAGACATATAACAATGGGTTTTTTCTGAATGTTTATGGTAGATAATTGAGATTCAAGGTCAAATCGAGTTCAATAGACCTTTATGCTTTCTGAATAAGAACGATAAAATCGGTGTCATTAGTTAGTTCTATAAAAAAAAGTTTCATTGGTCAGGAAGTAACATCCATTTTAAAAATGACGAAGACGTCACTGCTATTGACATTTACCCCCTTTCAACATGTACATGATTTTTGAATATCATAAAAGAGTACATGAATGAATATACGACATACCTATTCAATCACGACTACCCAATCGAATATACTACCCAAAATTCCAAATATAAAGTATTTGTTTCCTGGCAAATGTCGCACGAACAACAAAAATATAGGAAGAAGAAAAGGTAAATTATAAATAAGTTTCACGGTGTTGCCCACAGAATTCTGTGGTGTCAAGTTCACATCAAATGTTAGTGATGTTTATTTCACATGATTTGTAATTGTATTTCAAATACTTTATTTTTGATGGAGCTGAACGGAATTGATGTTAACAAATCTATTAGGATGATTTTTCAAATAGTTCTTTTATTAAAAGAGAAATGAAGAATTGAACAATATAACAAATCCAAATTGTAATTACAATACAGACAATTCTTTATTTTTAACAAACTCAAAGAACAAAAATGTTCCTGTCAATATATAAATAACATTTCATATCATAGCATAACTAGTCAAATGTACATTGGTACTATTCATATATGTTCCTAGAGTAAATTATATACATGAATTTACAAAACTCATCAAAAACACTAGAAGAATGAACAGAAAAACAATACATCAACTATCAAATATAGTTATTAGAATTTTCCTAATATCTATATTAGATTTTTCTATTTTATTTTCAGTTCATCTGGATTGTTCAATGCTTTGTCAATAAGGAAAAAGTCTTCCGACTAAAAAGTGTTTTTTGACTGATAGATAATATAAATCTGGAGTTACCCATTTTTCCTGATACTCAAAATAAATGTTGAAACCAAAAGTCACTTCTGTAGTGTCTGTCTTTCCATTTCCACAACTGCTTTGATGTGGTTTGATATTGTATTGAAGGGATCACTTTTGAAAGTCTTATCTCTCAAGGCCCTCTTGAAAAAGTTGATGTCCTCTAAAATTTTCTTTTTTCTGTCCTTTGCTTTTTCAGTTGATTTGGCTTTTTTCGTTTTTGCTGCAGGGGTGTTTTTGATGTTTGGCCTGGTCTTGAGCAAAGACTCGAGGGAAGGAAGTGCATCACGCAAGGGGTTTGTGTCTCCTGAATTTAAAAATATGTAATGATGATAGTAATACTTTACTGTGTTGAGGTAAATAAAAGAAGAAACAAGAAAGTCAAAATCACCTGTCAGTATATACAAAAAATGTTGGAAACTCACAAAGAAAGGAATAAAGCAATTAAGTTCCAAAAAAAAACTACAATGTGGTGTAGATCATACCTAAAAGAACCTTTCAGATACAAAGCTTTTTTTCATGAATTATCATCAAAAATGCTAGTAGTTTGCCCATTTAACCGAATTCGTAGCATCAATAATAACGAAGTTGGCAATGGTGCCGACTTGATTTGGAACACCCTATATATTTGTACTTATATTTAATCATTTCTGCAAAGAAGCAATTTATCATTTCATACCCATGATTGCAGTCTGTTTCCTTTTATTTCTAACTTTCAGTTCTTTCTTCATTTGGTCTATCAAATCGATCTTTTTCATCAACAGTTTACGTTTCAAATTGAGCTTCTCCTTTCTCTTCATCACTCTATTGCCCGATATTTTTGATTTGAGTGATTTAAAGGTCATGGTACCTTTTGTATCTTCTGATTGAGATTTTTCATCTGTTTGGATGAGATCATCCAAATTCAGTTTCAAAGCTAAAAATGGATCTTCTTCGGGGTCTGCTTTTGGGGTTTTGTTGGATAATTTCGATTCTGTTGGAATTTTGTTAGGTTTGGATTCTGTTGAGGTTGCTGATGGTGTCGCATAATTTTTTGATAGGTTCAGCTTCAACTTTCTAACCTTTCCCATTTTAAATTAGTATGCTACAAGAAAATCACCTTTCTGAACTTTAATACTGAACGTAAATGTGGAAGACTAATATACCTAGTCACCTTTGACTCCTGCGTTTTCTTAATCTGGAATTTGGAAATAAATCACTTTTTTCAAGAACATAAAAACTAACCCTGATTTTCTTCTTATTTTCTCACACTTTGGCCTTAGTCCCTGAAGAGATGAAACCACAGATTACTTTTAAAAAAAGGGACACTCATGTTTGAAAAAGGGTTGTTTCTGTGACATATAATCTTTATTAAACAAGTTTATGTGATTTTTTAACGGTAAGTTCGAATCAAAAACTTCTTTGCAATTGAGAAAGGATCACGATCTCAACTCTGCAGGTTGTTTAGCCACAGCTTTATTTTATCATATTCAAATTCACTGAAAACAATTTCTACCGGAGGCTGTTTCCTAGGTTTGTTCACCGCGGTCTGCAGCTCTTCATAACCGAAGTTTCACCTACGTATGCGGTAGACATTGCCCTTGTTGAGGTCTACTACAGACATTGACAACGCATCAGGTTCCGAAACATGAAATCAGAGCTTACACAACTTTCAACAACTATCACCTATAAGATTGTCATCTGTCAAAATACTCCATGGTTTCTGTTTCACTTTGAGCGTGTCTTCTGTTCTGTATTCTGTTTGAGCTAAAGTTGCTAAAGACATGTTAGAACGACTTAATTCCGACCCCACATTCATCAAACGCTGAATTTGCAAACCAGTCAACATTGCTTCTAGGACTGAATTTTAAAAAAAGCTTTAAAAAATGGTATTTGAATATGCAGATAACTGTTTAGAAAGTAGGCTGATTGAAAATAATTTCACCATGTTGAAGTTATCGAACAATAGTTACACCAACATGTTTCGTGGAACTTTTTTATTTTTTTTACCTTCAAAGTCCATTTTTATATTTTAAAAATTTTTTATATACATACTTTTTGTTTTTATTATTATTTTGTTATTGTTATGAATAACTATAAAATTATATTAATCAAAGAATACTTTATAGACCATAACACCAGATCTATTCAGATTACTGGCCAATTATATGTTTATAAATAAATAAATAAATAAACTAGAAGATAAGAGGACTGGCTGCCCCCTACGCCAATACTCGAGCTGGACGGATTGCGTTAGTTTTTTTCAAATGCCTCCCGAGAAGGGGGCTACCAGTAAAAATTAAGTGTTTTTGTTAAAATAAAAAGCGAATGAAAAAATCAAGGTGGCAGCATTGCCTCGGCAAGACCATTGCGTTACGGTCGGATGAAGCTTCTGTTCTGTTCACTATGGACAAGTGGAGCCTGGCCAAATGCTCACGAATGACAAGTTAGAGAGAGAAAAATGAAAAAGTTCAATTTTTTCTTCTTGCTATTTTTCCAGAGTTTATTTTTAAGACTTACGGCCTCTAACTTTTTTATTTTCACTTCCATTTTATCAAAAACCATCAAAATAGCTGCTTTCAAAATACAATTTAATCATTAAACAAATCGCCTTTTAACAATGTATATAACGTTCATAATTATTTTTTTTGTTTTAATACATTCATGTATGCGCTAGGAATGTTTGGATAATTTAAAACTGTAATATTGAATGAGGTATTTCAATATTTTCCAAATGAAATATCAAGTTTTCTAATGAAACAATGTAATCAAAAATATGAAACAATAACAAAGCATATCATTAACATTCAATCAATGAGACCATCTCGGTTTCCTCTTCTCGACAAAACTTCTGACGCCCTCTTTACCATCTGCGATGCTCAAATTCTCAACCATCTGACCACCTCCCAACTCGTAGGCCTTCTTGATATCCATATCCACTTGCCTATAATAGAATTTCTTTCCCAACTCTACCACAGAACGACTCTTCAACTTGATCGCCTCACAGGTCCTTTTGACTTCCTTCTCGAGGTCCTCAGAGGGGCAGACTGTTGTAACCAAACCGCTAGATTTGGCTTCAGCAGCTGATATGGCTTCACCTGTCAGTAGCATTTTTAAGGCGGTTGTCCGATGTGCTTTTCTAGCTAGCGGAATTCCTGGAGTTGAGCAGAATAGACCAAAATTGACTCTAAAATCGTATCGAAATATATATTTTCGTACTCACTCATGACAGTAACACGAAAAATTGCTTCGATAAGCATACAGTACTATCGATTTATGTGAAAAATCAAACAACTTCCAGCTCATAGAAAACCCTATGAAAATCCTACAGAATCAAATTGGCGATGATTCAAAATGACCAAAAATCATTCTAAATAAAATCGTAATTTCGGGATTGAAGTCGAAATTTCGAATTTTGAGTCGTAATTTCAAAATCACGAAATTGAAATCAAAATTTCGAATTTCAAATCGTAATTTAGAGTTTCAAGGTCGTAATTTAGAATTTCAAGGTCGTAATTTGGAGTTTCAAGGTCGTAATTTGGAGTTTCAAGGTCGTCATTTCGAGATTCTTTTAAAAAAATCTGTTTTTCCGTTAACCAGCTGTCGCACCCCTACGAACGACAACCCTCAGAAGTTGAAAGTTGTGCGAGATAAGGATTAACGACGTCTTACCTTTTAACTTGTGATTCTTAACACATGATTAAAGTCGAAATTTCGAAATTGAAGTCAGAATTTTGAGTTGAAAGTCGTAGTTTCGAAATTATTGAATTGAAGTCAAAATTTCGAATTCAAAGGCGTAATATCGAGTTTAAAGTCAAATTTTCGAAACCGAAGTCAAAATTACGAGTTTTAAGTAGTAATTTCGAGTTTAAAGGTGTAGTTTCGAGTTTAAAGCCGTAATTTCGAGTTTAAAGGCGTAATTTCGACTTCAAGGGCATAATTTCGAGTTTAGGGGCGTAATTTCGAGATTAAGGGCGTAATTTCAAGTTTAAAGGCGTAATTTCGAGTTTAAAGGCGTAATTTCGAGTTTAAAGGCGTAATTTCGAGTTTAAAGGCGTAATTTCGAGTTTAAAGGGGTAATTTCGAGTTTATAGGCGTAATTTCGAGTTTCAAGGCATTATTTCGAGTTTAAAGGCGTACTTTCGAGTTACGTTAAGGTTTTTCTTCAAGCATTGGCCAATTCCATTACATAACGTACTGAATATTTCAAAAATAATAACCTACCCAGGTGTAGAAAATTTACTAATATTGCTGCAAATGGCAATATCGCATTGAGCAACGAGTTGACACCCTGCTGCAGCTGCTAATCCATCAACTTGAGCTATAACTGGAACAGGACTATCAATGATGCTGTACATTAGCTGTGATGCTAGTTTGAACACTTCCTCATGCTGAGATCGTCCAACTTCCGGAGTCTGAAAACAGGGAAATAGATGATGCTCTCTAGGAGCAGATTTTTTTCCGGGGAAGAAAGGTTTTTGGCTCCCTACTTTTCTATTTTCATACAAAAAATGTGGGAAAATTGTGAAGGAAACAAGAAAGCAATTAGGAAGTTACTCTTAGATACAAACTCAAAAAAAAAGCCCACCCGAAACAACTACTTTCACGTGAATATTGAATCACAAGAAAGAAAAGATACTTTCGAAAAGAGTACTTTCATATGAACATTGAACTATACGAAAATCACTTAATTGCTTCCTTCTTTACTTCCGAAGTTTTCCACATTTATTATGTGAAGATGGAGACGTAGAAAGGCAAAAACATTTCTTTCCCGAAAACTAAACTCTCCTAAAAATATACCTTTTTCAATTTTTTCCATTTTTGTATATGATTTGACAATCTATTATCGTTGGTTTATGTGCGGCAATATACAGATAACATACATTTTTTCATCACGTCTCTCCTCACTCGAAAGGTACGCCATAGAATTACAACAGGGTGAATAAAAATTACCTAACACTAAATATAAGTATAACTAAATCAATAATTATCTGAGGAAAAGGTATCAGAAGAGCCAATCAGTAGGATTTTCTTGAATTGAAGTCAGGAGTGCCACAAGGTTCAATCCTAGGTCCACTACTTTTTTCTATATATACCAGCCAGCTCGTTATCTTCCTTACACATTGTTCTTCTCATCTATACGCAGATGACACCCTGATCCATATCTTTTTCAAACCTGAAGATGCTTATAAGACTTGTGTACAAATTGATAAAGACATCAATAACAATATGGCAATGGGTAGGCAGCTGCATACAGCATGCTTATTTCAATGAATAATGTGATTAGTTTTAAGTACTACTATAGGATTTTTTGTGGAAACAATAAACCAAATAATATATTTGAGATCCTTGAGTTGTTAAGATTCTCTGTTATTGTTTTTTTTTATCTTCTGTATTCTACGCTGGTGAGCAATAAATGATATTATTATAATCTATAATGTTAAGCTTCTGTGAGGTTAAGTAGTAGAACAAATCAGTAATTTTGAATTATTGACTTGAACTTCGCCTTTGATGTCAACCCTAGGATCAGAATTAATTTTTCGAATATAAAAAACCATGTGTATCCTATGTTGACCAGAATAAAGACACATTATTATTATTAATATTATCATTATATGCGAGGAAGATGTTTTTATGTAGATTCCTGCAACTGAATTATTAGGCATCAGAGCTCATAACAAACTCTCATGCACACAACATATCAATGCATTTTGTTGGCATATTATTGGCATTTCCAATATGGGATTCTGAACTGGAGTTCGGGACCTTCTGTAGTTTGTATACTTGGTAAAATTGGAGCAGGGTTTCCAAAAAAGGACACTTCTCACTATTGCTGTTATATCAATTATGTAACTGGCTCTAATATTTTCTAGCATCTAGATCCCATTAAACGGTCCTATACTAGAAAAGCTAGATTCACCTAGGAACATTGTAATCTTCGTAAATTGAATAGTCAAGATTGAGAAACCTTCCGACTGATAAAAATTGCTATTCTCTTGATGAATTCTAAACGTTCGCCTGATCTTTCTTCATCTCTTCTTTTTTCGATAACTCATATACCTATATGATTCTACTATGACTTTTTTTTTGTTATTGTGTATAGAGAAACATGTTTCCTAACTGAACTCGTAGTGAAATATGTGAATGAATGGTTCTGAAAAATTAGGCATAGTTACCTACGAGTTCTTTAAGATTATGTCCAGCAGAAAATATTGACCCTTCGGCAGCAAGAACTATCACCCTCAGTTCTTGATTATTTTCATCCTGAGTTATATGCTCGACAAGGTTTTGCATCATGGCTATGGATAATGAGTTTCTGAAAGGGAATGAAATGCAATATTCACCTTTTTTTCTATATTCGTGTTCCAATAGTGTGACAGGATTGTACAATTTGTTGGGCAATGAATGTAATGTAATGAATGCTATAATCAATAAAATAGTCCTTGTCTCATTTATCCAGAAAACAAAATATATGCAGTTGAAATACATTCTTAACCTACCTGGTTTTGAAATCATTCAATGTGATTTTTTTTATTCCTTCCTCAAAGTGGACACTAGTGATATTTGATGCACTAGAATACATTTTACTTAAAGGCTGTCTGAAGATCTGAAAACGCAATTATCAATTCATCTGAACTTTTCTTGAATGTAAATTACCTTCTGAATTAAAAAGTTACAATTCATGAATATCATTTTGTTTGGAATAATGTGAAAGACCACCTGTATTGTATAGATTTCAAGAGGTTATCTTTTGTTTTGAACATTTTTGAAATCACAGATTATGACGAAAAAAGTAAAATTTGACAGAAAATTGCAACTTTTGAAAAGTCATACACAAAGCGCAGCATTTCGCGCTGAAAGGTTGGCGACACTCGCAGATTTATTTTGTTGACCAATGTTACTGTATAAGGATTTCGATTGACATATATGGCTGCATATGGCGGTCACTGTCATGTGATTGGTCGAATTCATTGTCCAGTGAAGAAGGTAAATATGTCAGAATCATACATATCATCGCCAGGAGAAAAGACACTGCCCACAACATCAAATGATAATGTCGAATAAGATAGTAATATGTCTTGGCACAATTATATTACAGAAACATCAAAAGCAGCCTCTCAGAAACAAACGAGATTTAAACTGTATAGTCGAACAGAGTCTTACAAATTTCAATATTTTGGGAAGTTATCTTCATTTTCAGAAGATGTCAACTTGGTTGGTGAAACGTGCGTCCAAAATAGTACTGCATTTCTGGTGATTGGAAAAATGTATGAGTCAAGGATCATTTTCTCAAAACAAAAGAAATGTATACTTCTGTTCGGACAAAAACTATCGTTTTTCATTATGCACAAGTTACAAAGTTTTGTTGAAAAAACAAACCTTCCATTCAAAGTTTTCTCAAGCAATCAACGTAAGCAAACACTTATTTCTTATAAATCATCATCATCATTATGTTGGGTTTTGTACATCAACCTGTTGATTTGAAAGTTATTTTTTAGAAAACCATTAGATTTCTCAGACACTTTTTTCAATTAATTGTAAATAACTGTTTGGGATTGAAATAAATATGGTGAGTATTGAGGAAAAACCCATTTTCGGATTTCTACCTCGCCATCATTGAAAAAAATTTTTGAAAAATTACAAAATGAACAAAGAATCAACTATAATAAAACTTCTTCATAAAGATATGTAGATCATTTAATTATCCGGATGGAAAGTCTTTTCAAAACAACTATTTCCATTGAATAAATAAGAGACTTTGAACCTTTTAACAATTATATTTATACGTATTGGGAATTTTCATCATTTTTCAAATAGATACTGCAAAATATGTAGCAATGAGCGTGTTCACAGGAAAATACTTTATAAAAACCCAACCAGTACGTCATACATGTATATGAACGCCACTTCATCACTCACCATGAAGTGAGTTAATCTTAGGAAAAAGAAGAAGATTTTTTTTATATTTTCGGCTTGTCATTCTAGTTGACTTGTTTAAAAGTAGAAAGTATTTGTGTTTCCTCCACTATAAAATGCAAACAGCAATGAACGCGTATTATCCTGATTATTCAACGGTACCGGTTCAGCAGTCATTCAGCCCCTATGCTGATAATGGAGGGTAAGCATTCATTCAATGCCTGACTTCAACAATCCCCAATTTTATAACTTTCCAGGAGCGTAGTGGCCATAGCTGGAGATGATTTCGTGGTAGTGGGAGCAGATACACGTCTAAGCGCCGGCTTCTCCATCTACACCAGAGACCAAAATAAGTTGTTCCCCCTTTCAAAAACAACGGTTCTCGGATGCTCAGGTTGCTGGTGTGACACACTAACGTTAACTCGTATTTTGAAGTCTCGCATGCAGATGTACGAGCAGGAGCATAATAAAGTGATGTCGACCACTGCTTGCGCGCAGATGCTCTCCACCATGCTCTACTACAAACGCTTTTTTCCTTATTACATCTCTAACGTTCTCGTGGGTCTCGACAACGAAGGAAAAGGTTGTGTTTACAGCTACGACCCTATTGGACATTGTGAAAAGACTACGTACAGAGCTGGAGGATCTGCTGGGGCTCTGCTCCAGCCTCTGTTGGATAATCAAATTGGACAGAAGAATATGGAGATAGTATCTACCGAGCCCTTGTCGAAAGAGAGAGCTCTGGCTATATTGAAGGATGTCTTCATCTCTGCAGCCGAGAGAGACATATACACCGGAGATAGTGTTTCTATCAATATCATAACTAAGGATGGTGTGAAAGAGGAGTCATTTGAATTGAGGAAAGATTAGAGGAATTTTATATTGAATTTTCCTTCATGAATTTTTGATTATATGATTTAAGTAAGAATGACTTTTACTTTTTGAAATCCTTTGTTTAGAAGAGTTTTTTTTTAATTTTATGAACAAGGATTTTTTTCAAATTGAAGATTGGTAGGTTCAATTTGATCAGATAACATAATGTGAACCACATTAGACTAGTGAAACTATAAATACTTCTTGATTATACTCATCAATTGAATTATAAAACAATTAGTGTTTTCTAAAGCTAATTAAATTACCCATTATTGGTAATATTATGAATTCAAAAAAAGATGCATAATCAATCTCTGGCTATTCAGAAAATGGGGAAATTTAATTCATTTGGTCATTCGCTAATTTTTGGGAATTTTTTAATCCATTCATTTCTCAGCATTGCAAAAGATTGATATCCAAACCTTTCTCTTCGAAATGTAATACTTCATAGTCGTTGAATCAATGCTCTTCCCTCAAAAGATAGTTTGCAAATATGGAATTAAGTCTTCACGTTGAAGAAACTAATTCTATGTTCTTTTATACTTCGGGAAAAAGCTCTCCCCGTTTGGCCAACATAATATTTCAGGCAAGAACCACAAATCAACTTATATATTCCTTATCTATCCGACACTGAAGTGTTTTTTCAGTAAGTTATGGATTTTATTAAAGTATTCCGTGTTAGGAATCACACGTTAAAAGGTAAGACCTCGTTAGTCCTTAGCTCGCACAAGTTTCTCAACTTCTGAGAGTTGTCGTTCGTATGGGGGCGACAGCTGATTAACGGAAAAACAAATTGAACAGATCAGTTATTTCCACCAGATGTCTACTGGTGTCACTTATCACTCAGTGAACAGCACGGATTAGGGATGAGAACGAAGCCAGTCTCTCTCACACAATAAGCCTCCTCTAACTCCCTACACCATCGAGCGTAGATAGTTTGTGATGCCACCGAAATTGTGAATTATCCAACAGTTTTTGAACTCATTGGATTTGAAGGCATACCACCACATAAATAACAACTGAAGGTTGGATCGCTCCGTGATTTGAATCCACCACGGCTGTGCGACGGCACGCGATTAGTCATAAAATTAATGAAAAACGTTGTCGAAACCAGCATTTTAAATGGCAAGTTCTGAGCTGGAAATACGTTAATATCACAAATGCCTGTTATACCTACAGATGTGCCAATTAATTTTGAACGTGTGGAATTTCCAATTAGATTGGCATTTGCACCATGTTGCACCAGTGAGCAAACCATTAAGCATTGAGGTCACCTAGTAGATTTGTTATTATAGCAATAATGTATCAAGTTGCAGTTAAAATATAATCAACTTCAAAGAGAGGTTCAATATCTCCCATAAAGACTTCTCGTTTATGAAACTTTCAACATAACATCAGAAAAAATGCTGGCAAAGAATATTTTGAAACTTTCCTGGAACTGTAAGTCTTTACTCAATCCCCAACAACACGGTTTCTCAGAATGTAAATCTACTTGTACACCAACCTTGCTCTTTACACAAACTACTTATCTGAAAATCTTGAGAGGAGGCTACAGATTGTCTCTGTCTATACTGACTTTTCCAAAGCCTTTGACAGAGTCAACCACGGTCTACTTATATCTAAAATTCAAGCGTTTGGTATAGGCGGGAGTATTTTGCATTAACTGGTAGAACTCTGTCTATAAAATACGGAGATACAACATCTACACCCATTCAGGTTCCATCAGGGGTACCGCAGGGATCCCATATGGACCCACTGCTGTTCAACTTGAGTTTGTTTTCACATATTCAGAATTTCTTATGTTTGCGGATAATCTCAAACTTTATCGAGCAATTACTTGCCGGGAAGATGCTGAATTAGTTCAAGATCTCGAAGCTTTTTCCATGTGGTGTGGAAATAATTTGTTAGAGGTAAACATCGATAAGTGTCAAATCATTAAGTTCGCTAAAATTAAAAGTCAAATATTCTTTAAATATAAATTGAATTGAATATAGCTCTTAAAAGAAAAACATTCATTCGCGACCTGGGAGTTAAATTTGATAACGAAATTAATTTTAATCTTCAAGTATCAGAAATTGTGGTAAAAGTTTCAAAATGCTAGGTTATGTGTTGAGAATTTCTACTGATTTTTCAATTAAAATATAAAAAAAATTATATTGTGCTTTTGTAAGATCCATTCTTGAATATTGTTCAGTTATATAGGACCCATACTATAATGTAAATATCGATTTGATTGGGAATGTTCAAAAGATATTTTTAAGGAATTGTGCTTTTCACTTTGGTATTCAATGAAATGACCAACTAATGACTAATAAATAGTAAGATAACTTCTCATATCAAACAAAAAGATACGAAAAATCCTGACATTTTTCATATAAATTCTGTCCATACCAATTATGCTTTGAACAGTCCGATTCCTCTTATTCTGAAGCTGGGAAGTCAATATGATAATAACAGATCTGTTTAATGTGTTACTTCAGGTCTTTAAAAATCAATTGAAAAGGCTAAAGCGTTTCCGAAGCTTTTCTTTACCTTATCATTTTCTTTGTAAGTACCAGATTTGTTACATCTTTCTCCTTGCAAGTACCAGATTTGTTTAATCTTTCAGTAATGTAGTCACTAAACATAAGGATTCATTAATATTTTATATTTCACACTTCGCTAAATGTTTTGTTAAATTGTAAATTGTAATGTAGTAGACATTAGACATGAGCATTCAAAAATACTTTGTAGTTCTTCACACTTTATTAAATATGTTTTTGTAAATTGGCTTCGCCTTGAATAAATAAATAAAAAACAATTTCCTCATAGTTTTTCTATTTAAACAACTAACCCTAATATCCAGAAGTTAGATTGTAGTACACAAAAATGTTATACCAAACAAAATTATTCAACATTCAACGGTTTATAATAAAATGAATGAACTCAAGTTTTGACGAAAATGCAGGAGTCCTACAAAGTTGCAGCCAACTATAAATTCATACAACCTGAGCCCGTATCACCAGATCAAACAATTTCGTCAAACTATTCTGCATAGATCGCTAATGAATTTGAATAAATCGTTCGTCCTGGGACACAGCCGAAACAGTTTTGCGATCCGATGCTTTCTTCCTCCCCCAGGACGTGACTTTACTTCTTGGCTCCTGGGGGAAGGAGTGGGCAGCCGCGGTCCTTTCCCCGCAACTTTATTCCAATTGCCTTCTCGATCTTTCCGATGATTACGTTGTTGGGGATACCTCGTCCTGCTTCGTAGTCGGTGATGATCTGAGGTTTCTCGTTTATCTTCGTGGCTAGGTCTTTCTGGCTGAGGCCTTTAGCTTGACGTCCCTGCTGGATTAGTTTTCCCATGTCCAATGGAACAGTGTCGTGTTTCAATTCTTCTGTTTCGCGGTCCAGTTTTGCAGTATTTTTAGTAATGACATGCTGTTTGTTGCTGCCTGCACCCCCTGTATGAACAAAATATTCATCCTTTTAGATCAAATACATGGTATAGGACAAGTCTAAGAATGCCAATAGTACCACTATGTCAATGAAAACATATAAAATAACATAAGATACAGGATACAGGATGATATCAACTCTCTATATTTTTGGTGTGAAAACAATGGGATGTCGTTATATCAAGGGTAATGCTTCTGTATAACGTTTGCTAGAATTAATAACAAAATCCCCTTCAACTATGTTCTTGACAATGTTAATCTAAAACAGCTCAATGAGATAAAAGATTTGGGTGTATTCTTAGAAGTGAACCTTTCATTCACCGCCCACATCAACATCACCATCAATAAAGCTCTCAAACTTCTTGATTTTGTCCTCTGAAATTGTAAAAATCCAACAGTGGATGCCACCAGAATTGTTTACCTAGCCTATATAAGATATATTTTGGAGTATGCGTCACCTCATTAGTAGTAGTAGTAGTTTATTTGACCAGATTATGTAGTTTATACATTTATGGCAAGTCACAGTAAATTCAGTCATATTAGTCAAATCAAAATTAAAAAATATATAAAAATATAATTAAAAGAACAATTAACGTCTAGTAACAGATTATCAATATATAGTATAAGATTTAAAATTTAGACATGAGCAATATATTTTAAAATACAATAAAAGATCATGGTTAACCATACTTATGATAGCTCATAAGGCTTAAAGTACCTAACTGAGTCCATATACTCATCGGTACTGTAAAAGCAATTTTCTAGTAGGTAATTTTTTAGGACTAATTTAAATTTTTTGAATTCCAATATTTTGATAGAGTGGTGGAGAATGTTATATAGATTCAGATTTAGGGAGTTTCTGCGGCTTACAGATAACCTGTGATAACGAGTATTTAGTAAATCAGCTGATCTGGTATTGTGGTTATGGATGTCGGAGTTTTTTAGTAAAGTATCTTTATTGCGATGTATTTCTAGCAGAACAGTATAAATATATAAAGTAGGCAGAGGCATAATACCCAGACGAATAAAAAATTGATGGCAGTGGTCTCTGTATCCCAGGTTAGCCAAGATGCGTATGGCTTTTTTCTGGTATCTGAAAGTAGCAATTGCGTTAGTAGAGTTTCCCCAAAGGAGAATACCGTACGAAAGTACAGAATGAAAAAGGGAAAAGTAAGATATTCTCATAATATAAGGGTTCGTTACATGTTTTAACCTTCTCAGAACGAAGAGAGCACAAGATAATTTGCGAACAGCAAGGTCAAGATGATTTTTCCAGCTTAATTTGTCATCAATCGTAATGCCTAAAAACGATACATTTGCCCCCTCACGATAATTAGTGTTTGTGGAGACAATCAAATTTTGGGTTTTTCTTTCATTCAATTTGAGTTTATTCTTCGTGAACCAAAGCTTAGCTGAGTTTTGTACTGTGATTATAAAGTACATACAAATATTATTGAAGGAATGCAAAATATATTCCTCAGACTTACTGCCTTCAAATCTGGCCTCACAGTTGGTGAATATGATTATTCCGATATACTTGATATTGAAAATCTTCACACCCTGTCTTTTCTTAGAAGCATTACCTTATTCAAAATTTTATCAGGTGACATTGATTGTAATGATCTATTTCGTGAAGTCTTATTCCGAGTACCTGTTCATTCAACTAGGAACAATGATCTTTCCACTGTCCCGTAATAACATACTAACTATGGATACTTCTCACCCATGTCAAGGTTTTGCGAGAAGCTAACTGTCCTTATTGTGACATTACAGGAATTTCACTGAATAATTTAAAAAAAAAACGTGTAGCAAACGAATTCAGTAGATAACCAGCTAGGATGTTGTAGTTAATTTTAAGTTTATATGATTTAAATTTCATGTTTATATTAGGTTAAGTTAGTTTTGAGGTAATACTGTATTTCTATATTTCGTTTTCGTCACGGGAACTACCCATATACATAAATAAATAAATAAATAAAAATAAATTAATGCCTAGAGTAAACCTTCATTGCTGTTCCTGTACCTAAATCATACCTACACAGTACTGTGCAGGTAGGTAGGTAATTTAAGACTTGAAGTATGCCCACTTACTATAAGAATATGTTAATTGATAAGACCTCAGCTCGCACTAGTTTCGGCTTCTGAGGGTTGTCGTTCTTGGGGATGCGACAACTGGTTAACAAAAAAACGTGTCATTAACAGATAAACAAAGGATTAGGGGGGTCGCAAAACCGAACCCCGTGGGACTCCTGTATCAATGTCGTACAAATCCGAGCTAGTATCTCTGGCATATGTATAAAAATAATGAATTTGCGTTCAATAGAATGATCTAGAACAATGATCTTACATTTCAACTGCGTGTCCACAGCAACTCCTTGTCTACGAGCTGCATTGACCGCCTGCTCGCTTTTCATGGTGGATGCCTTTGGGGCTCTCTTTTTCAAGACGGTCACGGTATCCCAGTCTGACATAGACATTGTTGAATTTTGTGTATCACTGTTTGTGAATTGTGAAAGACAAGATCAAAAAACTACCAAAATACAAAATGTCCACATATATTTTTTCTTTCTTCTTCTTCTTCTATTTTTGAACTTTAGCTCAAGGAGTCCAAGGACGGGAGCTTTTTTTACGCATACCATCAGTTTCTTGACTACTAGAGAAAAACATCTTTTTGTAGATGGTTGAGTCATCAGAGAATGAGATGATCATGATTTAAATAGAAAATTGATAGCCAAATCACCTGATTAGAAAAATTCACAACTATTCTTCGTGAAACCAATATATTACTTCTTTTTTTACGCATACCATCAGTTTCTTGACTACTAGAGAAAAACATCTCTTTTGTGTAGATGGTTGAGTCATCAGAGAATGAGATGATCATGATTTGAGTAGAAAATGATAGCCAAATCACCTAATTAGAAAAATTCACAACTATTTTTCGTAAAACCAATATATTACTTCTGTTATTGTGAAAATTTTTAAAAACCTTGTTGTTTTAACGATTCCCTTTCGTTTGGTCAAAAACTCCCGATGTGTGCACTGAGATTGACTTAACTTTGTATAGATGTTGATAGATGATAAAAAATTGGTATTTATTTCGGGTATTTTGTTCAAATCTTCCCTGTGAACGAAATGCTTCAATTCATTATTTCTTCAGGTCGAGAGTTTTCGATAGAATATTCCACATGGAGAAAGGGTCCAAGTGATTACACCAAAGATATTCTTTTCATCTTGGTTATTTTATTTGTATTATTCATGAGTAGTGAAAATTTACCCTAACTTAACCCAAATTCTGCATATTTCTTTCGTTGATTGATTTTAATCTAGAAATATATATTCTGAAAAAAATCAATATTCACTACTGATCATTCAAGGAAGTGTAAAACTAAAAGTTTCAGAAACATTATTTAAAAATTTTCTCCTATATATATTTTTCAGTTTTTGATTTTTTATCCAAAACGTTAATTCCAAATGTATCAGAATGTAACAATATTGCAGTATGGATAAGATTTTTAGTCGATTTAGTTTTTTATATTTTCTACTGAGATTTCGGATAATACGTATTATTCAATAATTGATAACCCATATTTTCTCTTTTTCAAGTTTGGGTTAATTCGTAATTAGAAATCGGTTATTACATCTTTAACTTCTTGCATTATAAACAAGGGGTTGAAGTCAGAATTCTATCATTGAATGCAGTAATGTCGTTTAGAATATGACTACACTCTTCAATGTTGAAGCAGGGATGGATTTAGATCTGAATCTTGGAGGGGTAATTTTTAGGGGGTAATTAATACATGAAAGTATATGCGTGTATATATTATAATACTCATTTGGAATCCATTGAATTTTTGAACGAACTGTTTCAAAACACTAGAACTGCAACACCCTACTCGATGCGCGTTTCACCAAAGTGGTTTTTCTTTCGTGTAGTTCAATGTTTATATGAAAGTAATTGTTTCGAAAGGGATATTTCTTACGGTTTGTGTCTGAAAATTACTTCTTTGCATGAACTACACATCATTGTAAAAAGTTTATTCTGAAATTAATTGTTTTTTTCTACCTCTCTCAATTTGAATCTTTGTTGTTCTACGCATAATTTTGGGGATGGGAACACTGATCTTTGGCAGTTTCCGGTAACGCGATTAGCCGGTAGAGGAAAAAACGCCTCCTCCATCTTTAAAGTCGACGCTCGAATTCTAAGTTTTGTGGGTGTTTGCTCTAATTATTATTGAAAGTTTGATATCGTATTTCATTGAAAACTTCATAAGAAGTTTAAGTTTTTACGTTTTCGTGAAAGTCCAGGTAAGGAACATTTTCACAGCTATAAAAAATTGATTATACGCAATTGAATTTCTGTCGGCGTCAGCTTCTTAGCTAGAGCCTCCATTTTGTATTACCGATCACCGAATTAATTGATTTTCTTGCTGTATCTAGTTGAAAAAATCATGGCAAATAGAAGAATGGGCGGTATGGGCGGAGGCCCGCGAGGCAATCGCTCTTTTTCTCAGCAACAGTTTCAAGGAGGCAGCCTTAACCCCTGGCAGGGGGCTATGCCCCAAAATTCTATGAATCAGGGATTGCTTTCCCAAATATCTTCCAATCCTCAACAACTCGCTCTCGCTCTTTCGAGCTTGCTACAAAATCAGCAACAGAATCCACCATCGTTACTTTCTTTGCCTACGCCTCCTGCTTTTTCTAATCAGGGAGGAGATTTCAATCGGTTTGGCAACCGAGGCAACCGTGATTTCAGGCGACACGAGCCTTACAACAAGGTATGATTTTATTACTATATTTTTTTCTCATAATGAATAATGTACCCTTTGGCTCTCGCCTGTTTATTTCTGTTAGGCGTAGAGTCATCAAAACCACCTCTTTTTTATACTTTTCGCATCTGGGCTACGCCCAAGTACTTTTCGAACATATTCTACCTGTTGGTTGCCCCCACGGGGGTAAATATTCGTTTCATCGGTTCACACTAGTTTTTGGAATATTTTTTGTTGGACTATGTATTTTCACTGCTGATCTCGAATCTGAATTGCAAACTTATAAAATTTTGAATAGAACTTCTGAGCATTTGAACAATACAAACAATAGGATCACAAATATTTATTCACATCATCTTCACATCTTATTGGAGAAAAAAAATTATTGATAGTAACTGAGATGGAGGCATGTCCAAAATTCAACCAAATTCAAAAAATCACCATTTAAATCAATGATATAACTTGGTGCTAAATCCCAGGTTATAATGTCGAATACAAATGAATGATTTATCACAAATAACTTCAACATAGTTTTAGTTCTTACTAGGCAAAGGTTCTGATGCTAATTTTCTTGGTATACAGTGTGTGTCGTAACATAACAAACTCAATTTACAAAAACAGACAAAACACCGAAACCTTTTGATCTTTCCGCCTGCTTACGAACAGTTGACATAAACAGTTGCCTGCAACATAAAGGCTTCAAAATGTTTCTTATTTTGACAACTCAGGTTTTTGTTTTGTCGAAATCAACACAGTTACTGTTTTATTGCGGTTTTATCTGTTAGCTAGAAATCCATCATAACTTGTTTGGTCCTGTTTTTTGCAAACAGCATCTTTGTGGTTGTTTTATGAGAGTTCCAGACTTAGGTGCTGATTGTGACATTTATTTCTATCCCACTGATATTCACTGAAAGGCTGAGTGTTTGCCTGTAGACACTCTTGACTTCATATTCTTAATTGGCGGACAAGAATACCTGAGTCTTATCAATTTTTCTTTCAAAACTAGTGCAAACCTTTAAAATGAGTATTTACCCGCAAGTATAGTGGAACATTGAGGCAACTCCATAGCTTCATCTGTTCTGTGATAATTATCTCAAGAGCATAATCCTACAAAGATGTCTATGTATTGTAAAATGTGTTATTTTTCTGTGATATATTTTAGGATTATTGTTTTTGTACTTGTTCTCCTTTGAATAATGTAGGTAGTATGTTTATCTGATTAAAATCATTGGTTTATAGTCCACATAACTTTATCAGTTCCCATATTTCTTACAGGTTGCTGCTGAAAAAATATAGTACGTTATTTTCCAAAACTTTAGTTTCTAATATGTCGGCTACAAAAATGTTCACTTGCCTAGTAAAAGCAGAAAACTTTATGAAAAGTCTAGTAAACACCTCAAGGAAATTATTTACTTCCATCTCGCAAACTATTTCTGAGAGGAGGGTTCTGACATTAGAAACTTTCCAATTAATTCGCAATCTATCTTTCAATAAAATATTCTGTGAAAATGTCTTTATTCGATGAAGGGCTGATTCCATGATACACATTTTTTAATGCTTGGTCTAAGTCAATTCATTAATTGATTGTTGAATACGTTTACAAAAACTAGTCCCAATTATATTGACAAACTACACCTTTTTTTTCAATTTTACTGTTTCACGAATCTACTTGATAAGAAGATATTTCCAACCTAATTGTTATTTGAATTTTCCTCCGATGATTTGCCTGAACATTTAAATCTATTCAGCCCTGTGATGTTGTTATCTATGTGATTTTGTCACCGCTACTGAAATGAATGATTTTACTCAGATTAACAACTACCATTATTTTCCCAGAATTGTTTTTAGTAGATATCTATAATTGTATCTGTAACGTTTTATCTGGTTCAATTACAGCAAATCCCACTTCAAAAATGTGTTCAAAGCGTGCAAAATCCTGATTCCTAGTCTATTTCCTTGTATTTTTTAATCTATCAGTTTTTCCAGTGATTTTTGCAGGCAACAAAATTCGAAGTTCAATGTTATTTTTAGAACTACTAAGTAGATTTAAACTGCGTATATGTATTTCTCTACAGGTTTCTCCGGTTTATCTTGTACTTCATACCCTTTTGCTTGATGATCTAAAATTCTCTTTAAAAAAAGTATTTCTTGTTTCTTCAGATCAAAATTTTACTGCATGTGTTATTTTCAATTGTTTTACATCCTAGTATTGCGTATTCTTTTGTACTGTCTAGATAAATTTTTGATTATCGTAAATTTAAATGTTGTCTAGGATAATTCTGCCACGATGGATATGTTGGTTTGAAAAACGCTTTTCTGTTTTCACTTTCCCATTAAAATGTAAAGAAGGAAACTTCTAGAGAGGGAACGATATATTTGTCATCTGTACATCTTGTTGACGTTTCAGAACCAGCAGTTTTTCAAAATGCCTTGCATGGATGAATAAAAGTTTCATGAATAGACTGGGATTTGAACCGTTTCAAATAGTTTTCAACAATTCTTTGTTTTCTAATCGAGCTCTACAGATTTTGTAGTAGACTCGCCTATTTTTTAATGGTATGACAAAAATTTTGATTTTTTTTTCTAAAAAGATATGTCTTGAAAAATCCCCAAAGTATTTCACCATATTGACAACAAAAGTAATTTCTATATAATCCATTGATCTTAGAAAGAAGTACGTTTGTCACAAAGCCACAATCTCTATGTAAAATTATTCCATGAAACTCAATTTATTACATTGGTTGATTAAACGTTTCTATTTCTTTTATTTATATCGAATTTTTTAACAAACTACCTTCAAACCACATTTCTGATATTTCAGGCATTTACAGCTTATTTATATTTGTAAGCTATCCAGGATATGTTTTTACCTATGATACCAGGTTTTTTCGTATATCAACAAATAGTTGATACTCATTAGTTTTATGCATTAATCCCAAACTAATTATTATGGTTTCTGGCGGTTTTGGGATACTACTATATTCAGCTCGATGTTACATTTTGTAGCAAATCCACTTGATTCTATTTATACTCTGTTTCATAATAGTAAAAATCGATGAAGCTCAACAAAAATTTTGGGATTTTGTTATGATTTGTCGCAGCTTTTATAGGCGATTTTATAATACTTCACCAGGACCACCTTACTTTTGTATAACTTACAAAAGGTTTTATGAGAGCTCCAGTACTTTTCTTCCTACAGTGGCGAGAGTTTGGGTATTCAATCTACTTGTCCAAACTAATGACTGTTTCTGAAGAGTGTATGAGTAAAGATAACTAATAGAAAGTAAATATTTCGAAATGAAATCTTTAAATATTCATCTTTCCTAATTATCTACAGCCTAGGTTCTGGTAAATGTCTGCCGAATAACAACTTCGCTGGCTAATACCACGCTAGATATTTAATAATAATAATAACTTTATTCGTCTTTTCGATCATTTACATGATATAAGACATGTCATAAATAAAAATATGAAAATTATATAAAACAATAATAACAGTCCACAGTATAACATAGATCGGACACTTGAAACAGGTACTTAACTATATACATATATAAAAAATAACACAAACACACATAGACACATATATGTATACACATACATAAAGTAAATTTATCTTTAACTAGGATGAAAGAAATGCAGTGAAAGCAATAATCATGATAACAGTGTCTCCGGTTCTAAGAATTCTTCTACGCTATAATATCCCTTATTAGTTAATAGCTCCTTTATTTGTTTTTTAAACGGTATAATATGCAATTCTATAATATCTTGAGGCAACGTATTAAATAATATGCCATTATATGCAAGTGATTCCTTGAATGTCGAAGTTTTATGTTTTGGGATAGTTAATAAATGTCTATTTCGTGTTGCATAGTTATGAACTATTGATTCATCTCTCAGATTGGGTACATTATTTTTCACATGGAGCAGAGCTTTATATATATAGATACAAGGTAATGTTAGCATCTTGTTCTTGCAGAAAGCAGGTCTACAGCTATCCCTGGGTGTAATAATTAAAGATAGTTCTAATTATTTTTTTTTTAACAATAAAAACACGTTTTGCCCCCATAGAAGATCCCCACATTAATACATTTTGAATTAACCCATGTACAAATACTCCCTAACAGAGATCAAACAGAGTCTAGAGACTGTATCGAAGAGAGATACTAGAAAATAAATATTTCGAAGTGGTCTTACTGCTGGATGAACGACAAAGAAGAAAGAAGCCGGTGAAGTAGTTGTTTTTCCAGTAGACATCTATCAACAACATGTATGTTGGGAAAGATGCATGTATTCAAAAAACACTTGCTTGTGAGATTTTCACTAAACAGTGTTACAAAAACGCAACACCTGTTTTGCCATACAATGGCTTCTTCGGCCGTGTCTAGAGATGAATGTTTTGAGATTTCCTTTCAAAATATTTATTTTTTGGTAATGACTATTTATCTATTTATGATGAATACTGTTATAACAATTTATTTCAAAATATTTACATGATAATAAGAAGATATCAGGTATATGCAAAAATTATGGTGTTATCAGATGATGATCTCTTTGTTGAATGTTGTGATTGCATGTTCTACAACTTCCCCACCTGAATAATGGTCTATATCCACATGTTGTCAATTTCTTTTACAACATGTTCAATACATTTTTGCCATTTTTCGGAATCAACATTTTTTAAGAACCCCTTAAAGATTATTTGCCATCTATTTTAAATGTCGCTTTTCTTCTTGCAACAAAGCCTGTTACGTGAGCTCAGTGGGATTGAGTTCGTAATGATAAAGGGGCAGACGTAGAATAATAATAGTGTCTCATTATGGAGTTTATGGATTCATAAGTTAATTTTTTAGGTGATCTGAAATAGTAAAAAATCTCAAAGCCGCCAGATCTTACTTCATTGAAGTTCCTTTTTAATATACGTCAGGATATATTGAGCTTTTCTGATGCTCTGAATCTGTTTTACTCATGACCAAATTGAAATATTTAGTAATTCTTAGGATGATGGTATTCCTTTCCCATTGTGTTTCGCAGACCATCTTGATATTGAATTTTTGTCCATATTTTTTTTTACAAATGTATCTAGAGTGTCTACAATTTAAATAAACTAATTTTTTCCTATGATTTTATTTAAATTTTATTTCAGTCTGTTATTATATCTCCCTTTGTACATTTTTATCCATATGTAAAATATGAAAACTTGTGAAATTGTTTCATATTGGAAGTTGATATTCTTAACTATGTCCTTAGTAGTTATATCTTAGAATATTTACATTCATTGTTTATTTTCAGCAACCATGAGGGCCAATCTTTTCTAACATACTGCGTTAAATCGTTTTTTCTTATCAAATTTCATACTGATACGAAGACAAATTTAGGTTACAAATTTAGGTTGAAGAAGTCCTTTTAACTCAGGACAGACACATCTTAAGAGAACATCTTGAAGAACTTTTAGCAAATGAATATTTTATTGTATTTTCACTTGTATTATCGTTTTGCCAACTGAGATGATCGACATCTGCACAAAGAGTGTTTCAGTCTTTGTACAAATATTCTACCGTCAACAATCCTGACAAATGCAGTCGTAGCCATCAATAAAACCCCCACTCAATTTATCAACTCTTTTACTTACCCTTCAGGGCCCAAGTTTCCCGAGGGATTGTCTTTCGATGGGCTTTTCTTCCAGTTCATTCATATATCTATCCTCCACACTGTTTTTATGAACCTCCTCTCTCAAATTTTAAATCCTCATCAAACTAAATATTTATTCACCAATGATTGCTTATTTTGCTTTTATAATTAGAATCGAAATTTTGGCGGTCGCAACAATGACAACCGGAGGCGTGGTAATCAGAACCAACAGAAACAGGACGATCAGAAAAAGACCCCCAGTAAGAAAGAGGACAAAGTCCTAGAAGTATCCACTGATGACGGTGGTGAAGAGAAGACCCCCAAGAGGGATTGGAAGGACGAGAAGAATGCCAGCGAGGAGAAGAAGAATGAAAGCAGCGAAGAAGAAAGAAACAAGGATGGAGTGTACGCTGGCATCCCCAAGGAGTATTTGAACTGCTTTGTCTGTAACAAGCAGATGTGGGATGGCGAATCCATGTACAAGCACGTTAAGGGTGAGTGTTTTCCTCTGTTCTGGTGTCTCCTCAATAGGCTAGGGTACTTTTTTTGACCATTTACACACATCGGAAAAGTCTAGGGATTTTTTTTTAAATGGCAATAATTTTTTTTTAGATCTCTTTAGGAAAAAAAAAGTTGACGGGTGATTATTAAACGAATGTAACTTACAACAAAATTTATTAAATGGTCAAAAATACTGAGTGCGCATATAAGCAAAACTAAAAAAAAATATATTTAGTATGTTATAAAAATATCCCTAGACTTTTCTGATGTGTGTAACATGGTATAGCATTTTTATGGTAAGTCCCGAATACTGAAATCCTTTTTTGGAGTTACAAAGATAAAATCATCTACAAAAAATCATTAAATAAAAATAGAAAGTGGGTTAGTTGAAAGCATAAATATAAAATCAGTAAACTGAGAATTTATTAAGGTTTTTCACAAGTAAGGCCCTGCCAAGTAAATATATTCCTAAATGTGACAAAAATAGTGTTGGAGACGAAACTTATCAATAGTAGATTTGAATTTTGCAAGGCTTAGTACCTTCAGAGACAAGTGAAGATTATACAAATGAAATTTTAGTGAATATCTCTTATAGTCTGGGTCACAAGACCCTTTTTTGGAACTTCTGTCCAAGGGCACCGAAAATTATGATTTGATTTGACCCTAGCAACTTTTTAAAAAATTTCAAGAGGAGCTCAAATAAATTGAAAGAGTTATAAACAATTTAGTAAAAAAGGGGGGTTTGTTTTTTGCAAATATCTCTGAAAATAGATATCCGATATTTGAAAAAAGATCCTTGAAGAGAAGGGCATTTCTTTAAAAAAGTCAACCAAGTGTATGAAAAAATCAACCTTACGGTTGATTTCTTCATACACTTGAAGTTTCGGGTTGAAAACATTTTTCTTCAACTCAGCAGCGCATTCTTGAACTTGAAGGACAAGAAAACTCATTTCTCACATGATATTATGAATTGTTACTGAAAAATACGATGGGGAATGTTCCTCAATTTGGGTTATTACAGCAAATGCAAGTTTGAACAAAATAAAGTTGAGTTTAATTCATGAGTTTTTCAAATTAACTTCGAAAAGAATTCAAATTGATGTTTCAAATGTTGGGTTTTAGTTTTTAAAGGGATTCGTTTTTAATTCACATTTTGGCAACAGCGCCTATATCAAGTTGAAATAATTTCTATGTACCTATATATTCTACTTTTAAAAAAAAGGAAAATTATCTTTATGAATCAACAATTAAGGCAAAATATAATTTATAGTTCAATACCACCTCCACAAGCCATATACACAACAGTTGTTTTGTTATTTATTTATATAGAGGAAGATAGGTTAGGTGCACAAAATGTCATATGTCACAGAATATCTCGGAACTCGGAACATAAGTAAACAGAACAGCACGCCTCTGAAATATGTCATCTTTGTTTGTCTCATACAGGTAACAGATTCATTGTCCTTTATTAGCTATAACCGATGTTGCCAAATGATGAAATAGAAACGAATCCCTTTAAATTCAAGTATTTGAATAATTTTTTTAAAGAAAAAGGTTGAAATGATAAGTTTGAAATGCGTTGTTTTAGAGCTCTTTTATGAAAACTACTTGATTTTCGTCAGGAGGAACATTCCCCATTCTAGTCTTTTCTCGATGATAGTACGTAAAAACTAGTCTCTCTTGAAAACATTCCCTTTTCAATTTAAACAAAATTCCTAAGGCCGAGATTAATGTATGTTGTTTCATGAACTATCTGGGATATTATCTGGTTGTGTATTTTTGAGCCATGTGTTTCTGAAGATGAATAAAAATTATTTATTCATATTGAGAGTAAGGTTTGAAGACTCCTGTATATATTGAAAAGATTGTTTCTATTGTACTCTTTGTAGAATGTTGTTTCTAAGCTGTCTTTTTTTGTCAGGACGTGCCCATAGACAAACGTTGGAAACTTTGGAGGAAAGCATCCATATCACTGTCAATATCCTTAGGGAGAATATGCGCCTCCTCGAGGAGAAAAAAGTTATCGAATTGGAAAGAATGCAACGCCTCTCCAAGAAGTTCAAGTACCAGGAACAGGAAAGCCACTGCAACATGTGCGATTTGAAATTCTTAGGAAAAATCATAAGCCATCGCAAGTAAGTTTCGCCAAGATTGAATTTTATTTTGAAATAGCTCGTTCTTTTGGAATTGTTCAACAGAAATGCTGACTTTTTAATTTCAGATCTGAAGGTCATCAACGTCTGAAGCGTTATCTACACCCCGTGTGCAACCTCTGCGCCAAGGAGTTTCCGTCGAGAGTCGAGTGGATTGAACATCGTTTGACTCCTGAACATTTGAAGAACTTGTTCGAGAAGATGAAGGACAGGTGCGGCGGTGCTGACGGTGATATAATCGTTAAAGAAGACGAACAAGAACTGGCTTTGGAACCTCTTCTGGATGAACCTCTGCAAATGGAAGATGAATATGTTATTTTGGAATTGACTAATGACTTGTCAAGTTATCAGAATCTCTTGCCGGCCTACAAGCCTGACCGTGCTGTTTCCACTAAGAGCTTGGTAGAGTTTAGCGGTTTCAGGTGCGAGTTGTGCAACAGGAGTTTTGAAAATGAAGAGTTGGCGCAAGTAAGTTGAACGTATCTGCTACCGATTTCATTATTGTCTCATATAGAACAATAAAACAAACGTTAAGTTGATGTTGAAGAGCTTGGAAATCATGAAACAGACTATAATATTTATTTATTTACGGACTTGCCAGTTTACAATAAACAGAGACAGTGCAACAGGAAAAGAAGGACAATTGAATAATAATGAACACCAAAAAATAGCAAATATCAATTCTTTCATGATGAAATAATATTCAATCGTTTTTTCATAGTAGGCCAATAAGTTTAACCAGATTTTTGAAAGAATATGTGGATGAAACAAATCAGTAACGCTATTCTTATTTGCTGGTCTTTGCTTTCTAGTAATGAATTCATTTGAGCCATAACTAGTATGTATCAGCACTCATTCTTTCTAACACCAATAACACCCTATGAAGTGGAATCAATTATCACAAAAACTACATCGAAACCGTCAGCTGGTATCGACAAAATTGATGGCAAAGTAATTCGTTTTGTGAAAGAGCAAATAAGCAAACCATTAGCACATATAATTAATAAATCGTTCACCTCTGGAAAGTACATTGATTCCTTGAAAATCTCTAAATCAGTACCTGTCTATAAAAATTAAGGGTCGAGAGACGACATGAATAATTATAGAAATATCTGCTTACAGAGTCAGATTGCAAAGATCATAGACATGGCCTTCAACACGAGATTAACAAGTTCCTTGAATCTCGAAATCTCTTAGGCTCATCTCAACAAGGTTTTCGACAAAACAAGTCTACCAGTTCTGCTATGGCAGAATTATGTTTGCAACTATATGATGCTTTGAACTCAAAAAACAGCTCTATTGTACTCTTCTTTGATCTGAGTAAAGCTTTTGATACGGTCGATCACAATCTCTTAGTTGAGAAACTCTATCACATTGGTGTTAGAGGGACGCCACTAAATTGGCTCACATCGTATCTCGAAAATCGAAAACGAGTATTGATACTGGGTAGTGCAAAATCAGAAGAGAAAACTGTAAATGTAGGGGTACCGCATGGATCGCTACTGGGTCCAGTACTGTTCACTATTTTTGTCAATGATATCACCTCAACATGCAAACAAGCGCACAAAATGATGTATGCAGACGACACAACTATGATAGTGAGAGAAAACAACTTAGCAAAAACAGTAGAAACTGCCAACACCATTGCAAACCAATTTCACACATGGTGTACCAGTACGGGCTTGTGTGTGAACAGAGAAAAATTAAATTTTATCTCGTTCATTACAAAAAAACATCAATAATATGTTCTGTTCCCTGATTAGAATTGATGGCAAAAGTATTGAACAGGTCACATCAACGAAGTTTCTAGGTATTACCTTGGACCATAAACTAAGCTGGGAAAACCATATTAACAGCTTATGTAATAAACTGAGTAAAAACTGCTTTGTACTAAGGCAATTGAAGAATACAGTGTCAATGGACGTGCTGGTTTACTGTTCTGTTTTCTGTTTAAAATCTGTTTTTTTTTTTTTTCGTTAACCAGCTGTCGCACCCCTACGAACGACAACCCTCAGAAGTCGAAACTTGTGCGAGCTAAGGATTAACGAGGTCTCAACCTTTTAACGTGTGATTCCTAACTATGGTTTGATACAATCAAATATATCCTGTGGGTTGATATTTTGGGGAGGCTCAACTCAAATAGAAAAAGTATTTCTACAGCAAAAGAAAATTATTAGATGCATAAAAGGGGTACATCAAAGAATATCATGCAAAGAAATATTTACTGAATTATCTATTCTAACTGTGCCATCATTGTACATATTTCAAACTATTTTAAACGTAAAAAAACAATTGGAAGTACTACCTACAAATAGTGCTCACCATAACTATAATACACGGAAGTGCAGGGAATTTGCAGCAGACGTTTTCGAGACTTGCCATTGGTCAATGCTCTCACATATACAAAGGCATTGTATTTTAAAATTATTTCAAGAACAAATATGACAGTGAAAAAAATTTCAATGATTTTAAAACTTTTAAATCTCTTTCAAGCAAGTTCTTGCTGAGAAAAGCATTCTATTTTGTGAAGGAATTTTTAAATGACTGAATATGACCTTTTTTAACAAATTTTAGCGTTGAAAGTAGGTTGTGTATGTAGAATAGTCTTATAAATAGGTATATATTCTGATTTTAGTTGACTAGTCTAATGAAGTAGTAGTATTTGTGTACCAAATTATTTTGTAACATATTATGTTCTGCTTTTACAGATGATTAAATTCTATTCTATTCTATAATCGCAAGAAACTTGAACCAACTCTAACACTCTGGTTTATTTTGAATTTATAATGAGATCTATCACCAATTGCGTAACATATGAACGGTTCATATCACCATTTTTGACTTTATGAAAAAGTCTTGAGTCAATTTCAGCGTGGCGGTGTGCTCCAAAGTAGATGAAAGCAAAAGTATCGGAGTAATCATAGTCTGTCCTCTAATATGGATGCATACAATATTAGTTTTTGGAGTGTTAAGAAGCAAAACTAATTATTTCCAGTCATTCCATATTTTTCTATTTTTTCTTTATTCCTTCTGTCATTTCATATTTTTGTCAGGTTTTCCTTGTTTCTGCATGTCTCTTATGTTTTTTTTTGTTCCTCACTCAATTCTCATATCCTATTTTTTCTCTTTCCTTTCTGTTGATTTTTTTTCTCTAAGTATCTTGTCTCGCATAATCGTGTCCGATTTCTGCTTTTCCCTTTTCCTCATTTATGATTTCTACCTCTTCACCCTTTTCATCTTATTACTTAATATCTCATCTCTGTTTTCTATAGACTCTTTTTTATTTACTGTTGAATGTGTTTTTTTGAAAATTGTACTGGTTTTTCAACTTCTAGTTTGTCAAGTACTCATCTCTTTCAAGCAATCTTTTTAATTCCATTGCTGTGTCTCTTCCTTCATACTGCCTTCATTCAGTATTTTAATTTCCCACTAAATCACCTTCATTTTGCAAAATTTTCTTTCCCCCTATTCCATTTGTATTTTTTTTTAAACTTTACCGTTTCGTCGATATTTCCCCATTTCTTCGATGTTTCCCCCTTTTGCTTTTTTGGAGTACATGTTATGTTTTTTTGCAGAAACATCTGAAGACTAGAGGTCATTACCATGCATTCATTGAAGCAATCAAACGGAAGTACAAGGAGCAACAAAAAGCCAAAGAATCCAAGAAAGTTGAAGATGATGGTGATAAACCGAAGGAAGAAAATGATGAATCCCAAGCTGATGGTGAGTAAAAACACCCTTTATTTGTTATAAGCCTCGTATTTTGGGCAAGGAGATTTGTGAACCCTTCCAAAAGCTTCGAATCATACGAGGCCATATCGAAATCCTCGTATAGTCTCCAGACTGCAGTTTATTGTTGATCTGATTTATGGCGAGGTAACAATTTTATTATTTAAAGTACAGTGAGTAACCTTTGAAAAAATGTATCACTTGCACATGTGAAATATTTTTTTTTTTTACTAGGCGACCAAGAAATGTATGATCCTGAAGAGGCTACCAATGAAGACGAATCTGCCGTAGATGCAGAAACTACCCAAGAAGAAGGCGAAGGTGATCCTTCGGTAATCAACAATTCTGTTGATATGATTGAGATGGTCGAGGAAGAAGAGGCAGAGCCGGAGGAGGAAGAGGAGATGCCAGAGCCACCACCGCCACCAAAGAAACAAGAGGTAAGGTTTGATTTTACATTGAAGTTTGATATTTGATATCATCCTTTTGTGGATCTCTGTGGTAGATTCTTATGAAACATTTGTTTTTATCTATGAAATCGGTCTCTGTAATTTTGGAGAAAAACTTGAAACACAATGGGGAATGTTCCTCCTGAAGAAAATCAAGTAGTTTTCATAAAAGAGCTCTAAAACAACGCATTTTAAACTTATCATTTCAACTTTTTTCTTAAAAAAATGATTTAAATACTCAAAAAAGAGGAATGAAATAATGCCTTCATTATTTGAAGGGATTCGTTTCTATTTCACCATTTGGCAACATCGGTTATAGCTAATAAAGGACAATGAATCTGTTACCTGTATGAGACAAACAAAGATGACATATTTCAGAGGCGTGCTGTTCTGTTCACTTTTGTTCCGAGATATTCTGTGACATATGACATTTTGTGCACCTAACCTGTCTTCCTCTATATAAATAAATAACAAAACAACTGTTGTTTATGTGGCTTGTGGAGGTGGTATTGAACTCTAATTTATATTTTGCCTCAATTGTTAATTTATAAAGATAATTTTCCTTTTTTAAATTGGAATATCTATGTACGTATTTATTTCAACTTGATATAGGCGCTGTTGCCAATATGTGAATTAGAAACAAATCCCTTTAAAAATTAAAACCCAACATTTGAAACATCAATTTGAATACTTTTCGAAGTGAATTTGAAAAACTCATGAATTAAACTCAACTTGATTTTCTTCAGACTTGCATTTGCTGTAATAACCCAAATTGAGGAACATTCCCCTTTGTGAATACTAACGGTTGGAGCGTGAAGCAGTTTGGTTTGAGATATTTTTTTCTTATTTTCTTTCAGGTCAAAAAGGAACCTCCAAAGCCAGTGACTTCTACTCCGAAACAGGCCGCCGCACCTGCAAAAGCAGCTCCTGCTGCGGCACCTGCGAAAGCAGCTCCTGCTGCGGCACCTGCTAAAGCAGCTGCTGCTGCAACGCCGGCTGCAGGGGGCGTCAAAAACGGCGCCGGGCCTAAAAGCAAGAAGGCACGTAAGCAATAGAGCTTTCCACATATTTAACTCTTCGATTTGAAATTAGTGTAATGTGTCTGAGACGTATCTATATATACGTCCAATGTGTATTTTTTTAATAGGTAAACATGATTTGGTAGATGTGACCTCAGTGAATTTGAATTTTTTTTTATATTGACGTGGATTAATAAAGTGGATGGATTTTAAATGGCGACCTATTGGTAATTTTTTTTTCTTGGACCTCTGTATTTCCCCGCAAATTTCTTTGGTGGTTGGCATCTTTTGATCGTTTTTGAAGTATGATTGAATCAGAATATACAGGGTGAATGTCTGGTTAGGCTATTAATAGATACTGTGTGAAAATAAGATATGGAAGTTTGGCAGCATTTTATTGCAGTTGGTGACGATTGAGCTGAAATAATTGTTAATACGGAGCATTTCCAGTTGAACAAGAAGAAGATTTTAACTTACTCATTTTGAATGTAATGGCTTATGTTTCATTACAAATTTTTAATCTTCATCAAACTCTTGATCTGCTTCATGTAATCTTTGGTCACATGTAAATTGCATATTCACTAAATCAGTCAGTAGAATCCTAGCAATAGCGGTTTTTAGGGAACAGTTGTCCCCCTTCTTTATTGGAGTAGCCTGACATAGGCATACTACTTCTATTCATGTTTGTCATATTTTTGAGTGGCCATAGAAATGCCAAGAAATGCATAGCGAGTCGCTACAATAACTATGGATATTCTAAAAGTTCTGCTCAGTTATTGTAGTAGTTTTTCTTTTTAAGGGAGGGATTAGCATAGCATAGAATAATCAGGATTGGATATACCAAAACTAGCCAAGAATAACATTGAATCGTTAATAATTTCGAAGGGCATTTTCCTCACAAAAAAACATAGGTAAAAGGAATGGTCATTCCGATACTGGAATTTGTAGCAAAGGAAAACTTTGCCTGTATCTTTCTAAATATAGGTAGCAGTATGCCAAAAAAAAAACAACGGTCCACAATCCTTGTCAAATTCCTGTATTTCAGATTTTCAGTAACTACCAACAAAAATCTTCACTTGAATATAGTTTTTACAAGTTCATTCTGTAGACACAACTATTTGAAGTGAAATTTTATGTGGTTTGTATTTAGAATCTCAAATGGTGAGAAAAATTTTGAAAATAGCTAGCTGGTTATTTTTAGAATCCATTCATTTGAATTCTTCTTTGTAAATCTTTCCTGTTTATTCTTTTCTTTTGAATTTTTTAGTCCGATCCCAGTATTTTTGTTTCCATAAATGAGGAATATGTAAATATCGAGTTATTTTTCAGTTTCGTTATCTGAAAGATTATTTTTAATGTTACACTTGGTAACTTTGAGGTTTTTACTATCAGGTATCATTGTAGTTTTCATTTTTTGGTATATGGTTATCCTTCATACATTTTGAGCAAGTTTTTAACATTTCTCCGACAGTTTTTAAAAACATTCTATGGATGATGGTCAATTCTCAATAAGTTTTGCTTGATTTTTTGTAATCATCCATTGAATATTTTCAATTTGGAAATTTTTGAGACAAGGGTAAAAAATTATGTTATATATTCGATTCCCACTGTTGATTGGGAAGTTTCGGAATTTCTGGTTCAGTAGATTAGTCTATACTGAGTGACAACGTTGAATGGTGTCTGTAAAATGATTTTGACGTCACCTGGTCTGGTTTCTAAAAACTCGAAAATATACCATAAGGTTTAAATGAATTTTCCTTTGATATTTTACTGATATTTTGATTATTTTATCACACAACTATTTCCTAGATTTGAGCACAGCCTTGGAAAATTTTATTCTAAAACCGAAATCTCATTTAATTATAATTATTAGCTGGCGGCTGTTTCGACCAAGACAACGCAGCAGAATGTGAAACCTGCAGTACCCTATACATACAAAATACCAAAGCTGAGTCAAGCCAACAAAAACAAGTAGAAATTGTATGCTTCCTTATTATTCATTTCTGTAGTTTCTAGTTGATTTTAATACTTGTGAGATGATACCTGTATTTTTGGTCTTGATAGAATGCTAGATGAAAGTTAATGTATTATCTCGCTCAATAAACTTATGAAACTTAAGTCTTGTATTATTTTTCCTTTCTATTATTTTCATTTATGACGTGATTCAATCAAATTTATATCCGATATCCTACTAGTCAATACATGAGTGTTCTAACTTTCTGAAACCGAATTCCTTCGTGTTTTCAACCCTGTAAATACACTAGCTTCACAGTTTTTGTTTAAAAATCAACAAATCCTTCATAAACGAGGTTCAATGATATATTATGGAAGTTTACCGCAGATCGACTTAACTGAATATTTTTTTTCACTGTGTGCAAGTGTCATCAAGCATTTTTTTTGAAAACTGTATTGCCATCACTAAACTGGCAATTTTCAAAACGAATTAAATGTTCGAATAACGGGATTTTTGTATTGAATACAATTACTGAACATAGCAGGGATTGTAAAAATATACACAACCTACTAAAAACAATGAAGAATCCTACTAGCCTTGCAGAACATTGCAAATCGTCCCTTCATACTTTTGATTTTGAGAACGAAATGATTGAAATAACAAAACATGAAACAAAATGTGTTAACAAAAGGATATTGAAAACTTACACACCTCATATTTCAATCTAATAGAAAAAATCAAACAATAACTAACTTTGGAATCATTAACCGACTGCTTTTTTCAAATACAATTCTCTTTTTTTTGAATTATAAAGAACGATTTACAGACAGTTCGGATTATTAATCTCTTCGTGTCTGTGTCAACGTCTTTCAGGAACCTGTGTACATATTTATATTTTATGTCGAAATTATTCACTTCACCTTTCAACTCGGAAAGCCGCCCTAAATGTGAGTACTCGTCAACGTTGTTTTTTTTTGTAAAATGTTCGAAACGTTTATTAATTTTTAACGATTGTTATATTACAAAATATAATTTGTTTCTAACAGAACTGCTTTGTGAATTTCCATTTTAATATGTATGTCTTTTTGTTATACTTCAGAGTCCTGCAGATGAAACAATAACGTTTCGAAACGTCGACAATTTCGAATTCCCGCCAATTCGACAATCAAAATAATATTTAATGGTCGCCATCCTATTCAAATATACAGTTATATATTTTTTCAAATATAAACTTGAAGTATGAAACAAAACAGCCAATCATTAAACACTACTAATAGTGAAGAAATACCAAATGGAAAACTATAATTGAATAAATGAACCTTCTTTCTTGCGTCATCTATCAAACTTCATAAAGTTGTGTTAATATAGAGTTTTTGACAAAAAAAGGACTTTGCAAAACGGGGTCTTCTATGCATCTTTGCGTCATCCACTGTGTTTTTACAGTATTGAAATAGATATTTCTTCCATTTACTAAAATATTTACTTTCTCCATCACAATTGAGGAGAAATTCTAAAAGATGGCGCTACATCTATAATATTCTGAAATTATCTACTAGAACATTTCTTTCAGGCCAGTCTCAACACTGTAGGTTGATGGACTGACACCTACCAGAAAACAACTACTCCCCTGGCTAATACCACAAAGTTCGTTGGATTATATCTGATTGGTGGGTCAGTGCAGGATTCTTCACTGAAGTTATTCCTGCATATGCCGTTGGCGATACAACTGCCATAATTGATTTTCAATGATTAGAACTCACTTGTGTGTTCCTATAATTGGAAGTAGTTGTTTTCTGTCAATCCATCAACCTACAGTGTAGGTAAGTTGAGACTGGCCTAAACGAATTGTTGTTTACAATTGTATCTTTACAACCTTTTTTTTTAATATCACATATTTCGCTATCACAGTAGTTTTTTCGTAGCGAATAATATACTATAAAATCAAGTTTGTGAAGATCAAATCATTAGTTGTAGTTTGTGAAACATCTATAATAATTTCATAAAACTTTGTATTGCAATACTGAATAGCGAGAACAAAATAGTTTATTGAATAAAGGAGATAATTATTCATTTGTAAATTGGTATCTATGATGAGAAAAAATGAGAAATGTTTTATTTCTGAACATTTTCATTCATTTGGTTGCTCTACCCATAAGTTGGCACGGTAAGTTGTAATTTTACAATATTGAGATAATTTTTCAATTAATTTGCCAAAGTATTTGAACTATCCTAATTAAAATTGTATAAAAATTCTAATAGATGGCGCCACATTCATACAACAATTTCGTGTTTTATTATAGAATATAAAATAAGCTCACTTTTCATATAGAAAGACCTTCACGAGAACCTTCAATTGGGAAACCGACATCAGGGAAACCCATGTAAAAAGCATCTCCACAAAGTATCTTTTGAGATTTTTTAATTTTGTCAAGGAAGACACTTGAACTGAGCGCCATCTGTTTTTTGCAGTCTCTGTAAATTAAATTAATTCCATTGATGAAAATTAAATTTTGTCAACTGAAAATTTATTGAAATTCTAATAGATGGCGTCACATTCATACCGCGATTTTGTGTTTTATTCTAGAATATAAAATGAGCACGCTTTCCACGCTCGACATATAAGAAAAGAGAAGTGAGTAGATTACAATAGTAAAAGGTTATATTCAATTTCTGACTTTTATCAGTTCATACTTTTGTTGTGAAGGTGTCTGCCTAGTATCCCATCTAAATTCAATTCATTTTCAACTGAGTGTAAGTGGCGCCATCTGTTTAATTTTTGAATTCTCGAAATTAAATTTATTAAAATGTTGAGAAATTTCAATAGGTGGCGCCACTTTCATACCACCACGTTGTGTTTGTACTAAAGCATGAAATATAAGTTTCACATGATAAACGTTGCCTTTGAAAGAAAGTAGGAGAGTATAAAATAATATAATAAAAGTTGTCTTTAATGATGAAATATTACTATTTCTGATTTGTCATCGATCAAAAACGTCAAATGAGATCGTTGGGATATACCCTCCCACCTTCCCATCTTAATTAACTGAATATATTTTCTCCACCTAAGTATTCAACTGCTAACAGTAAGTGGCGCCATCTGTTTTCTGTGTTAAATTTTACAATCAAGTTGGTTGAAATCAACCAATTCTGTCAATGTATTCAAAAATAAAACTAAAAGCCATTTGTTTCATTATTTGACTAACTATTTGTACATGTTGTAAAACGAAATGAAATTAAATTTATACCATTTGTTAAGGAGTTGAAAC